TTTTAGACGAGATCTTACTATGTTTTGTAATTATCTAGCGACACCATCTAAAATAGTAGAAAACAGCTTTATCTTGAATATACTAGGAAAAATTTGACTCATATGATATTGACAAGGACAATTAAGTAAAAGTCATTCGACACAATAGAGGACAGTTAATAATCTTATCATCAAAATAACATTAGTTTCCCTATCAAATATATGTTTTCCTGTGTTTGCTTTCACTACTTACTCATATCGTTTGACTGTTTATGTAGAAATGTCAAAAAATAAATTGACCTTTGTTTTAAAAGAATAAGAGTCAAGGTTATGTACGAGTTTTAAACTATGACACTAAAAGGGATCAAATCTAAATGGTTCGCAATGAAATATACCTTTAACTTAATAGATCAAAAATCAAAATTAAAAATCAGATTATTGAACAGACAAATTCATGTAATGAGACTGTATGAGATAAATGAAATGGAATAAACGTCTGATGCTTTTTCATAGAAGATATGGATAGGTTATAAGGAGTACCCGTCTATCTATCTATCTATCTATCTATCTATCTATCTATCTATCTATCTATCTATCTATCTATCTATCTATCTATCTATCTATCTATCTATCTATCTATCTATCTATCTATCTATCTATCTATCTATCTATCTATCTATCTATCTATCTATCTATCTATCTATCTATCTATCTATCTATCTATCTATCTATCTATCTATCTATCTATCTATCTATCTATCTATCTATCTATCTACCTATATATATATATATATGTATATATATATATATATATATATATATATATATATATTTGTTTATTTGTTTGTTTATCGGATTTTAACTTGTGTTACTCTGTTTCACAGTCTGAAACCTTACCAATAGGCGCTTCAAGTCACGTTTGGCCTCCTATAGGACCGAGATGTTTAAATTTATAGATCACTGAATAATAGCTAAACTCAGGTCTCATAGTTTAAAGTCAGTTCAATAGATTTAGTAAATATGTACTAGTTAATAATTTTTTGTTTAACTACTAACTATCAACAATAGCCAATTATAATCTTAGGAATAAATATATTACTATACAGTCAGTAGTGATTCTTATCAAGGTCCGAAGATGTAAATGGATGCTAATAAGTTTTCCTCAATTTAGGTGTAGATCTAAGGGAAGAGATATAGATATTGTTTAGTAAAACGTTGCAAAATCCGCTTAATTCAAAGTATGAACTATTAATCTGTTGACATTAATTATATTGTTGTTGGCATGGTAGCAAAATTACTTATGACATGAATTCACTTTTTGATCCAGAATATCGGTAAAACTTTATTAGTGTTGCTTTTTAATATTTATAATAGACAGAATGGAATTTTTTCCCTTTGTACCATATTGGAAAGATATGAAAAAAAATTATAATTTCCTGATTCCAAAATCTGGGTTAACTTTTAAAGGAATTAACATAAAGCCTAGTTTTAGCCTCATCAAACCTATTCTTTTAAACTAGCAAATATCTAATATTTCCTCAACATCTAGCGTGAAAATATTGATTCTTAATTAAACTACTTTCTGTCATGATAAAGATATCAAAAATATTGGGTTTAGTTTTTAAAAGGATTAACCTTGAAAATCAAACCGAACGATATAATAATGATAATAATCTTTTTATATATCCTCACATAATTATGATAGAAATATTTACAGAGAAATATTCTGTTGGACAGTTTATAATGATTATGATGAGGTCCATGTGACTATCGTAACCAGTGGTTGGAGACTCTTGGTGACATAGGTCAGTATATATCATAATGGAGTAGATGTATACACTATCTTCCTTTAAACCGTGAGATTAAAATCACCTTATACCTTTCTTTCTACGAACTAATTCTTTCTTCCTGTACTATATCCTTATTGCAATCTTTCTTCTATATATTACCACCTCTGAATTAACTACTTTTATGAATCCGGTGTCCATCTTGTGTTAATGAGGTATGGCAACTTGGACCGATACATATATGTGCCTGGTCCTACGTTGTAGCTGGTTGACTGACTGACTGATTATAATTAATTGTTGAAATAAAAATATATTTAAAGTACGCTAAAGCTTATAACCATTTCAAGGTCATTTTATTCAATAATGAAGATCATGAAAATAAGTGATTATTAACTACCTAGATAAAAATTTGAATAAGCTTATATTTATGCAAATACATGAATTCACTGATATAATATTCAACATTAGACTATTACAAAATACAATAAGTTCAGTATTATATATACAAATATAACACATGAATAAAACAACAAACTTCATATCAATTGGCAAGTATTTCATGCATAAATTGTAACTGCCGATCAACTAAATAACAATACACTGAATCAATAATTTTTTTTTTCAAACAACCAGCCAAAATGTCTTATGTTAATTTCCTAATTAAGAATGTATTCACAAGAATATATTATCATTAAGTATATAACAAATTACATGTTAACAATATTTAGAAAACATCTTAAACCTTTAAAAATATCTTCTCAACAATCAAATTAAAATTTAGAAAATGAAAGTAAACTATGTTAAGTGAAACAATATTCAAAGATGAAGAATATTTGAGCGAATAATTGTTTTCAATAACTTCATCATCAGGCTCTACAGTTATAAGTTCATAATTATAATATTTTACAAAGGCCAAGATTAAGGCATGTATTAATGAATTTGACAAAATTGTATTATTTGACAAATTAGAAAGGTCATTCAATAAAGGTCAGGATGATTAGGAGTAAAGTGTTCAGTCATCATAAGTATAATAGTATTATAGCAAAATGAAAATGCCAAAAAAAATTGTGTGAATAAAATGCATAGTAGGAGAATTTAATCTTGTCAATTGAGATAATAATAAAGGAAGGGGGTAAGAGGTTTATAATATTCAGTCTAAGTATTCGGTGATCCAGTGGCCTTTGTAAAATATTATAATTATGGACTTATAACTGCACAGCCTGATGATGAAGTTATTTGAAACAATTGTTTACTCAAATATTCTTCATTTTTGAATATTCTATGAGGATTTTTAAACTGCTGAAACAATATTGTTGTTAATGAGATATTCGTCAGACAGTAATATATTTATAGACATATATGAGAAATATTAGATAAATCAAGGTAGTTTATTAAGTTAATGGTAATGAAAAATAAAAAGACTGAATAATTAAATCTAAGCAATAAAAAGCAAACAGTACAAATTACTAGTAAGATGATAAGTGTATTTGTAGTGAAAAAAATAATAGAAACAGCTTGAATGAATAATTAAACATAGGACCTAGGTTAGAACTTGAATTAGGAACTTATTAAAACAGCACTAATTATGAAAATCGTACCATATAACGTGTAAATAATCACTTTAAATGTTTATGTGGCTAAGATATTGAATAATTAGTAAAGTAGTCTACTAAGTTTTATTAAATCAAAGACAAAAAAGTATTTCAATGTTTTTTTCAAAATACAGAGACGAAAATTGACAACTCGAGTTCCTATAGCCTCTGCTAAATATAGGAGACGAAAGTGAACCCCACTTGGAAAAAAGTGGTGGCATACGAAAAACCCTTTTGGATGTTTCGGTTCTATTTACTACCTGGTCATCATCGATCAAACGTAATGGAATGGGGTTCCGTATTGATTGTGTCAGACCCTTTCCAAACTACAAGGGATGACGCTTGCTAAATGATTGGTTAAAATCTCTGGCTGTGAATTTGTTTTTTTGTTCACATTATCATACTATTTAATATTCTTATGTTTACTAATATATTTGTCATTTTACTATCAGTCGTACATTTTACTCATTATGACTAGCTATGTAGTCCTTTTACATTATTATAACTGGCTCCTAAACTGACTTTATCACTTTAATAATTTTCATATGTACAAATAAATATTATTTATTTATTTATATACATACTTACTTACACCCGTTACCCCTTGTGGAAGAGCATAGGCCGCACACCAGCATTCTTTATCCATCTCTCACCTGGGCATTCCTTTCCAGTTGCTTCCATTTGCTGATCATGTGTGCTTCCGATTCTCCTCACAGTATGTTCCTTGATCTTCCACTTTTCCGTTTCCACCCAGAATTCCAAGTTGGAGCTTGCTTTGTGATGCAGTTTGATGATGTCTACGATGTATTTCCTATCCACTTCTAACATCATTTCCTAATTTCATATTAAGTTGGAAGTTGGTCTGTTCTTTCCCACAGTAGGTTGTTGCTAATAACTTCCGACCAACGGACAATTAGTATCTTCAGTAGACAATTTTTTGAAACAATTATTCCCACAAGTTAAACAAATTACAGCCTAAAGATTTAGTTAAGAACGCTATTGTTCGCTTACTTCTGTTGTTTTTGATTCTCATAATAGGGATTTTTATTATTCACAAAGATCACTTCTTTTCACTAAATATATAAGTAATTTTCGCATGGCTCACTTTCATGTAATGGCTATATGGACTCAGTAGCTGAATGAATAACGTGATGGCGTCTGAAGCGAACGGCACTGGGTTCGAGTTGCTTAGTGTGCATCAAGCTTATGAGTCCCAAATAGGACGAAACTCACGTCCTGCATCACACTGTTAGCCATCATCCATCTCCACTTGCAATACTTATGAATTAATGGAAATATAATGTTAGTTATCACTAGATGCTCATATGCTGATAAGAGACTAATCAATAGCAGTCCTAAACATCTATGTGAAGATTCAAACAATCAATAAAAAATGAATCACTTTCCTGTAGCTTGAATAAATCGACTCATTGAGCAAAGTTAATCTAAACATTCTGGGTGATGAGAGCAACCATAATAAAATTGCTATGCTCTGATTATTATCATTATTACTAGATATTATTATTATTATTATTAGATATTTTCACTTCCCAAATATGACTTTTAAGATAGCTAGATGACTTTGAGGAATAATAAATTATCCCTTTATAATTTAGTTTTCCTCTTTTTTTACTACTAACAGCTTCTTCCGTGTTTACATACAGTCTGTCAAAGTTGTGCTATTTCATTACATAACCATTCAAAGAGTCAGGATAATTCACCAATAAAATGTAAAGCTTGTCATATGGCTGGTTTGAAATTACAAGAACAATATGATCCTCATAATAATAATAGTTCTATTAATGAAACACTAAAAAATAACTATAACGATGAGAAATATTCGACAGTTCAACGTGGCATTAGCTCAACTACTGACTCAAACTGTGTATTAGAAAATGAGGAAACAATTACAGTGGATGAATTACAATTTCCAAATGCAATATTTATTGAAAAACTTCGAGATTTAGCAAATTTATTACAAAAAGATACAATACGTAAATGTGATTATTGTATGTTTGAAAATCAAAATTCAGAAGCTCAATTCAGGTACTTTAAGTTATTTACTTGTGTATAAGATTTAATCTGCAATACCTTATATTCTTTATTATTATTATTACCATTTTCAAAATCAAGTAGTAACCTCCCTGACTCTGTTACTGATCGAGGTAAACTCGAATATCTAAGGGGGGAAATCAGTTCTTTCAGTATCTCAAATATAATATTTTGATGAGTGTCAACCCTCCCTGGGCCTAGGTCTGATACATTTTATAGAGTGCTACTAACCAAATAACAAATTTTTACTAGTATTTATATTATGTTTACAGAATTCAAGTGAATAGATTCCGTAGGACATTACCAACAAATAAATGAGTGATTACAATAGGAAATTAAAGCTGTCATTTATGTACGAAATATTTAGTCAGGATGATATTGAATAACTTATCGGATAGCATATAAATGATCATAGATAGATATGTTCACAAGTCAGTTCATCGTAACATCATTCCGAAAATTTGTTGTAAAATGTTTGGAGAATTTTTATATTCTGGATGATTTGCTGAAAATATTTGCTGTTCAACAAAAATCAGCTGATCAGATAATTGTATTAAAACTTGTTTTTTGAGTTCGACGTGACAAACAGCCATTATTTCTGTCACAGGCTTAACAGTCTTACTAAGTATTAACGATATCTATTACTGTTTACTGAGCTAGTTAAACCTGCTACCCACCAATCTTTTATTTTTCATTTTCTATCTGTTTAATTACCTTAACATTGAATCGCCTGAATAACTTGATAAAGATCCTGACTCGTGCTAGGATGATTTGTTCGAATGACACTATTGTAGATGAATTGGTTAATATTCACAACTCACTTCGTAAGAATAGGTACCCAATGAAATTCATCGACAAACACATGAAGGAAATGAAAAGAAGGACAAAGATACCTACCGTTCATAAGAAAGTATTGCTCTTAAAATTACAATTCCTAAATGACAATACTGAAGAAATTGTGACTCGGAGATTAAGAAAAGCGGTACAAAAACATTTAATGCAGCCAGGCTATGTGCTATCTTCTACAAACACCCCACAATAAGAACTGCTAATAAAGACAGATTGCCTGAATTCGTCATATCCATGTGTATTTATCGATTCAACTGCTCCTGTGGAGCCAGTTATATAGGGCGTACAATTTGTCAAGTTCTTCATCGTATAACAGAGCACCATCTGTCATTGTTGAGCAAAGGACAGGTAAGAGTGATTAGGAATTCTATTCTCGCTCACTTGGTTGACACAGGTCACCAAGTTGAAATGAATAAAGCTTTTAAGGTTATCTAGCATATTCATCAAATTTACCACATGGTTTACGAATGCGTCTTTTGCACATTGCTGAAGCTATCGCAATCTATTTCCGCAAACCTAACCTTTGCATCCAAAAGAAGTTTGTACAACCACTTTCGCTACCTCGGCCATCGGTATAGCGGCGTTTGTAGAAGAACATTGATAAACTATTTTCGTACTTCTTCCATTTTGTTTTTGTCTTTTGAACTTTGTATTTACTTATTCTCAACATTTATCTCTTGATTCTTACATAACTCCTATTCTACTGACCATTTATCAAAATGTTCTGTTCCTTCTCTTTTTCATATATTATGCAACGTAGCAACTTCTTGATTTCCGAACAATTACTTTGATTGTTATTAATCCTCTTTCTTCCAATTACTCAATGTTAATTTTTGATCGAAATGTCATTATGTAATTATTACGTAACGTATCCACTCGGTGAGTATTATTTCATTATTGTAAATCATATATATATATATTAGCGTAGAGCCATGATGTAAAACTAAATGAAAAGAAATTTCTCTATCTGAGTGGTTGATTGAGTCATTTAAGAGGTCAGAACATATATACAAGTCAAATTGGTCTATATTTCAAGAATTAAATGGGTTCATGTTTTGTCTTGTTAAGAGCATAATACTGAAGTGTTCTTATTTTTAGTTCAAATAAGCGGTTTGTTTATTCTAAGTATCATAAGTCTTTTGCGTATATGACTATGACATTTGCTTTTTCTTAAGTATCTAATGTTTTTTTAATATGATACTGTGGTGTCTGTAAATTATTTTCAGTGATTAGTTGTTGTTCCATGTAAACTAGCCATTACCACAGAATATGACTTAAATCACTGTTAAAAAACAAACGCACAGTCCTTATTGAATTAACATATGGCTATTCAATTTCAAGCTGTCATATATGGTTTCTTCGACATCTAGATAAATTGATTATATTTCGAATTATCCAAGTTATTTATATTTAATCTTAAATCTTAAAAATAATATTTCACACAGGTTATTAATGATCCAACACTTTATTGATATGAAAACAAATTGGACAGTATTCAAATCCGTTTTAGCGATTGATTTGTTTTTGTCTTTTTGAAAGATGATCTAAATGAAATCAATGGTTAAATTTAATGTACAATAAGATTTATACTTCTTGACATCAATGAATAGTTGAACTATTGAAATTACATATTCAGTTTCTAATGATCAGATCTTCTTTTTTTTAAAAAAACCAATCTATACCCGTTGTTTTGTGGGTTAAGTTGATTGCTATCAATAACAAATGTAAAAAAGATTTCATCATATCAGATAACTGTAATCCTATTAACCTTGGAATGATCATTAAATGAATATGAAATGTATATAACCACCAATCGTGGAGAATGTATATCATTCCAAACTTCAGTTCCAATCTGATTGTATGTCAAATAAACAACTGTTATGAGCACGTGATCATTATCAAATTTTAAGTAACATATTTGATAGTGTAAATACTTTGATATAGATGTAAAACCACTAAATCAACCTATTACTGCTAAGATTGATACCGCAGAAAAAGTTTAATCTTAAAAAAAATTTTGAATAACAATAGAAATAAATGTAATTAGTACTTAACGTATGTTTACGTTTGAATAGATAACAAAAATTATCATCTACGACAGAATCTTCTAGAAGGAAAAGACAACTGACAGTTTATTTGGTATTTTCGGTATTTCTCTTCTGTCCGAATACGTTACAAGAGGACAAATGGGATTCTGTTTTAAGATTTTATTTCTATTAAAATCAATTTTGGTTAGGAAAACTAATGTATGAATTTTGAGAGTTACCATAGTTTTCTGCTGTACCTGAAAAATTCTGATAAATAGTTAATAGTTTGGAGGGAACAAATGGAAAGTTTTTGACTGTTTAACGATAGACTTGTAAAATAAAGTAAAATAAACTAAAACTAACTCAGTTGACGTTTAATAAACTTAAAGATGTATTTCATTGTAAATACAAATTGGTTTAATCGTATTTAGACCTTTCATCTAATTGAAGCAAAAGCCATTCGGTTACTCAGTGAAAATGTTACAAGTGAGTTAGACAAGTGGGGAGGGGGCATAAGCTACAATCAGCAATTTTTATTTTATCTTCTGATTATTAGCATTTAATTTTCATTCATAAAACATGCTTTCTCATCAGAATTTCTTCAAAATTTATGTTCGTGGAATTTATTGAGTAGCAAGTATCTTATTATTATTTGATTGATGATTTCAGTTGTAGATATCCCAAGCTGATGAGTGCTAACTAAAATAAAACTTAGGTCTATGGCTTTTTATTGATTTCTTCCAAACACTGAGCATTGAAATATACTAGAGATAATCCCGAATAATATAATTTTTTCATAATGAACAAGTGTTCGATGACCTAACTGACTAAAGATGAACACTTTCTTTGAATAATATATAAAACCCATTAGAATAGTAATCACAATTATGACATAGAAACAGTTATCAAATACTGAATAATCTATAAGATATATGTAACTATTTTATCAATAAAGTGAATAGAAGTGCCTGAAGTACAGAATAAATAATTAGCATAAAAAAATAAAAAATTTCAATGTGTTTATTGACAATTCTAAATAAGTCAGTTTCATTACTTACTTACTTACGCCTGTTACTCCCAATGGGGCATAGGCCGCTGACCAGCATTCTACAACCCATTCAGTCCTGGGCCTTCTTTTCTAATTCCATCCAATTCTTGTTCATTTTTCTCATGTCTATTTCCATTTCTCGGCGTAATGTGTTCTTTGGTCTTCCTATTTTCCTTTGGCCTTCAGGATTCCATGTGAGGGCTTGTCTTGTGATGCACTTGGGTGCTTTCCTCAATGTGTGTCCTATCCACTTCCAGCGCTTCTTCTTGATTTCTTCCTCCGCTGGGATCTGGTTTGTTCTCTCCCACAGTACGTTGTTGCTAATAGTGTCCGGTCAATGGATCTGAAGTATTTTGCGTAGACAATTGTTAATAAACACCTGTATTTTCTGGATGATGGCTTTTGTAGCTCTCCAGGTTTCTGCCCCTTACAGTAGAACTGTCTTGACATTTGTATTGAAAATCCTGACCTTGGTGTTGGTTGACAGTTGCTTTGATTTCCAGACGTTCTTCAGTTGTAAATATGCTGCTCTTGCTTTGCCGATCCGCGCCTTCACATCTGCATCAGATCCATCCTGTTCATCAATAATGCTGCCCAAATACGAAAAGGTCTTAACATCTTCTTAATAGACAGGCCATAACTCAAGAATGGTAAATCGTATAGTAATAGTCTATAGGTCGAATTAAATCTTATAATAAGGGCGACATGAATATGACAATTTAGTTACATAACAACTATACGATAAAAATATACCCATAGTATTGGTCCATTAAAGGGTCCCGAAAGTTACCATTCATTTTTCTTATCTGGATATAACACTATCCGCGCTTGCACATCAGCATCAGATCCACCCTGTTCATCAATGATGCTGCCAAAATACGTAAAAGTTTTTACATCTTCCAAATCTTCTCCGTCAATTGTGGTTGGATTGGTGCATTCAGTGTTGTATCGGAGAATCTTACTTTTCTCTTTGTGTATATTGAGACCTACTGCTGCTGAGGCTGCTGCCATACTGTTCGTCTTCTCCTGCAACTGTTGTTGCGTTTGGGATAGAAGGGCCAGATCATCTGCGAAGTCTAGATCATCCAACTGCATCCTAGATGTCCATTGTATCCCATGCTTCCCTTCAGATGTTGATGTCTTCATGATCCAGTCGATCACCAGGAGAAAGAGAAATGGTGAGAGTAAGCAACCTTGCCTGACACCGGTCTTTATTTCGAACGACTTTGTCAACTGTCCTCCATGCACGATTTTGCAGTGTAATCCATCATATGAATTCTGTATGATATTGACTATCTTCTGAGGCACGCCGTAGTGTCGAAGAAGTTTCCATAGTGTTGTTCTGTCCACGCTATCAAATGCCTTTTCGTAGTCAATGAAGTTGATGTAGGGTGATGAATTCCATTCAATTGATTGTTCCACAATGATCCGTAGAGTTGCGATTTGGTCTGTACACGATCTATCCTTACGGAATCCTGCCTGTTGGTCTCGAAGTTGGGCGTCTACGCAGTCCTTCATCCTGTTTAACAATACCCTGTTGAAGACTTTTCCCGGTATTGAGAGAAGAGTGATGCCCCTGTAGTTATCACAGTTGCTGAGATCGCCTTTCTTCGGTATTTTGATCAGAAGTCCTTCTTTCCAGTCTTCTGGTACTTGTTCCTCATCCCAAATTTTATTGAAGAGAATGTGGAGTATCCTTGCAGTTGCCGCTACGTCTGCTTTTAGTGCCTCTGCTGGGATGTTGTCCGGTCCTGCTGCTTTGCCACTCTTGATTTGTCTGATGGCCATGCTGATTTCTTCAATTGTTGGTGGGCCAACATTGATTGGGAGGTCCGTGGGTGCTGCTTCGATGTTGGGTGGGTTCAGTGGAGCTGGTCGATTCAAGAGTTCTTTGAAGTGTTCTACCCACCTGTTTCGTTGCTCTTCAATGTTGGTGATTACCTCGCCTTCCTTGCTTTTCACTGGTCGTTCTGGTTTGCGGCGATTTCCAGAGAGTTTCTTTGTCGTGTCATACAATTGTCTCATGTTCTATTTTATTAAAAGATAAAATTGAATTCCAGAAAATTCTAGAAAGTTTGTTTTAATAAAAAAGAAAAAAAAAACAGCCGCCAAACTTATGATAAAGCTCGTCAGCTTAGTGTAAAAATGATAATATTATTCAATCTACTGACTACATATTCTTTGATTGCCTAGAAAACAGTACTGATTATAATTTTAAGCAAATTTTAAAAAATAATATACCATTTATTCATATAAGAAGTTAATGAATCGTTTACTAATTAAGCAAACAGTAAACCAATTTCATAGTTGAATAAAATGACTAGCATACTTTTCAATATTGAAATAAATTCATTCAGTTTTAAACCTATCATTATATATATACATATTCTTTAGTATGGTTTACAAAGTTGATTTAATCTGAAAACAGTTATATCATTACATTTATGTATACATAACGACCATGTCTAAAGATTAAAGTCAATGAAGCCTACAAATTGACTAATTTAGCTGTGAATTACATTAATTTCAATCAGTGATATTTCTAAAATCTCACAAAACCCCTTCTGATAATAATCATCTGCTCACTAGTGACTGACTTCAAGAGATTCTCCTGGAGTTCTAATGAGAAGCCGTTACTAGTGGAGTTCAACCAGGTCTGTTGTGAGACATCAACTCACTGAAAACAATGGTGTACGGTGGCGCAACTTCGTGGATTGGTTGAAGTTAGACATTAATACCGTTGGATGCTGGCTCAGTGGTCTAGTTGGTTAAGCACCTGGCGCGAGACTGATGGGTCCTGGGTTCGAGTCTCGCGGGGTGCGGGATCGTAGATGCGCACTGCTGAGGAGTCTCATGCTAGGACAAAACGGTCATCCAGTGCTTTCAGGTTTTCCATAGCGGTCTAGCTTCATTTGACTCATGATTTCAATCAGTAAAATTTTTAAGATCTCCACAGGACCCCTTCTGTTAATTTTTATACTAATTCAATCATTTAATACAAATAATCTAAACTGGTATTAAATCCTCCAGAGGATTATTTATCAGGTTCTTTGTAGGAATCTGTTTCAAAATTTCATAATTTGATATAATTGAATACACTGATGAAGTACATGTAATTTTCGAGTGAATGATGCATTAAGATTACTGAACTTTTAATATAGCACATGCTTTTATTATTATTTTCTTAACAGTACTCAGTAATTTCCTTCTTGTTTATAGGATATTTTAGTAAACGGGTATTTGCTACGCATGAGAGAAGCTCCACCTACTCAATGTACCGATCATGAATTCTCTGAGCTTAACACAATTAATTCAAATGAGAAGACTATAGGTAATAATCAGAAAGTATCAGATAACACAGTCAGAACTAGTTCTACTACTGTTGATTTTAATAGTAATAAGGGTAAAACTATTATTGGTCACCGTTGTAATTGGCCATCACCATCAGCTTGTTTTTACTGTAAACCATGTAATAAACTTTTATGCGCTGAATGTAGCGGACATTTCTCAATGTCATCTAAAGGTAAAGAACATGAAAATCATGTTGTATTATCATTGGAAAAGGCTGTTCATGATGCTAAACTTGAAATTAATAAGCAAATTGATCGAGTTAAACGGAACAATTCACAATTCGAAGTAAGTCGTTTTTTTTCAATAATTCAATTAAAAGTAATAGTTTTTACTTGGTGATTGGTCAAAGAAGAGTGATAGGCAGATCTTTATGCACAAGTCTTATTCGTTTTTGTATTGATAACTCAATTATATATAGAGCCTTGAACAAACTCATATCCTTCCTTAGCATTATTATTACATGTTAAAAAATCATCATAGTATGAGATATAAATATGGAACTATTCCAATAAGAAAGAATATAGAACGTGGAACCGACAGTTGAGATGACAATCGAGTTATCTCAATTTAATAAGCTTGTATCTTTTAATAGTTTGCAAAATGTTAGAGGCATAGTGAGCTGTCGTAATCTTATTGATTGTTTCAGTAAGTATTAAAATGGTATTCGTCATAAAAAATCCAACACTTGCAGTTACATACAACTTACGAGTCCCGAATAGGATGAAATGCACATCCTGGATTCCACTGTTAGTTACCACCCATCTTTGTTTAGTCGATTCTGATGGGAAGAAATACATATTCATTCATTTCGTTTGGCTGAATTAACCGTTTCGTTAACTCATTTAAATAATATTTTGATTTTTGTTAAAATTTAAATTGACCAAAAATTGTATACTACTTTAAATTAAGTAATGTAAGATTTTATCACTGCTTCCTATTGGTTGTAGACTAAATCAGGTTGCATTGTACTAGTTTACATACAGTAAACATTATTCTTCATGCTGAGTAACTACAATGTAAAACAAACCTTTTCCTGTTGTAGTTGTATACAGTATGATAGACATTAGAAGGTATTGCAAATTATTACTTACTTACTTACTTACTTACTTACTTACTTACTTACTTACTTACTTACTTACTTACTTACTTACTTACTTACTTACTTACTTACTTACTTACTTACTTACTTACTTACTTACTTACTTACTTACTTACTTACTTACTTACTTACTTACTTACTTACTTACTTACTTACTTACTTACTTACTTACTTACTTACTTACTTACTTACTTACTTACTTACTTACTTACTTACTTACTTACTTACTTACTTACTTACTTACTTACTTACTTACTTACTTACTTACTTACTTACTTACTTACTTACTTACTTACTTACTTACTTACTTACTTACTTACTTACTTACTTACTTACTTACTTACTTACTTACTTACTTACTTACTTACTTACTTACTTACTTACTTACTTACTTACTTACTTACTTACTTACTTACTTACTTACTTACTTACTTACTTACTTACTTACTTACTTACTTACTTACTTACTTACTTACTTACTTACTTACTTACTTACTTACTTACTTACTTACTTACTTACTTACTTACTTACTTACTTACTTACTTACTTACTTACTTACTTACTTACTTACTTACGCCTGTTACTCCTCGTGAAGGAGCATAGGCCACTCACCAGCATTCTCCATCCAACCCTGTCCTGGGCAATCCTTTCTAGCTCCGTCCAGTTGTAATTTGTCCTTTTCATATCTGCTTCAATTATCCGACGTAATGTGTTCTTTGGCCTTCCTCTTTTCTGTTTCTCTTCAGGATTCCAAGTTAGGGCTTGCCTCGTGATGCAGTTTGACGATTTGCGTAATGTATGTCCTATCCATTTCCATCGTCTTTTCCTAATTTCCTCTTCAGCTGGAAGTTGGTTTGTTCTCTCCCACAGAAGGCTATTGCTGATGGTATCCGGCCAATGGATGTTGAGTATCTTGCGTAGACAGCTATTTATAAATACTTGTACCTTCTTGATGGTGGTTGTTGTAGTTCTCCAAGTTTCAGCTCCATACAGTAGAACTGCCTTGACGTTCGTATTGAAGATTCTCACTTTGATATTGGTTGAAAGTTGTTTTGAGTTCCATATGTTCTTCAATTGTAGGAATGCGACCCTTGCTTTGCCGATCCTCGCCTTTACGTCTGCATCTGAACCTCCTTGTTCATCGATGATGCTTCCCAGGTATGTGAAGGATTCTACATCTTCCAGAGTTTCGCCATCAAGAGTGATTGGATTGCTGTTCTCCGCTTTGAATTTGAGGACCTTGGTTTTCCCTTTGTGTATGCTGAGGCCTACTGATGCAGAGACTGCTGCTACACTGGCTGTCTTCATCTGCATCTGTTCGTGTGTACGTGATAGGAGGGCTAGGTCATCTGCGAAGTCCAAATCGTCTAATTGATTCTGAGCTGTCCATTGTATTCCGTGTTTTCCTTCAGATGTCGAGGTCTTCATAATCCAGTCGACCACCAGAAGAAAGAGGAAGGGAGAGAGTAAACAGCCTTGTCTGACTCCAGTCCTTACTTGGAATGCATCTGTCAGCTGTCCTCCATGCACTACTTTGCACTGTAGTCCGTCGTATGAGTTCCGGATAATGTTGACAATCTTCTCAGGAACTCCGTAGTGTCGAAGAAGTTTCCATAATGTCCTCCTATCTACACTGTCGAATGCCTTTTCATAATCAATGAAGTTGATGTATAGTGATGAGTTCCACTCAACTGATTGTTCGACGATGATCCGTAGTGTTGCAATTTGGTCTGTGCACGACCGATCCTTACGGAATCCAGCTTGTTGATCTCGAAGTTGGGCGTCTACTGCATCCTTCATCCGGTTCAGCAACACTCTGTTGAAGACTTTCCCTGGTATTGACAGTAGTGTAATGCCTCTGTAGTTTTCACATTTGCTCAGATCTCCTTTCTTTGGAATCTTGACGAGGTGTCCTTCTTTCCAGTCCATCGGCACTTGTTCCTCCTCCCAAATCTTTTTGAATAGAAGGTGAAGCATGCTTGTGGTTGCTTCGATGTCTGATTTCAGTGCTTCAGCTGGTATGTTGTCGGGTCCTGCTGCTTTCCCGTTCTTGATTTGTCTGACGGCCATTCTAATTTCTTCCGTCGTTGGTGGGTTGACATCTATAGGAAGATCTATGTGTGCTGCTTCGATGTCCGGTGGATTCATTGGAGCCGGCCTATTCAGGAGTTCCTCGAAGTATTCTACCCATCTGTTACGCTGTTGTTGAATTTCGGTGATTGGCTTGCCTTCTTTGTCTTTGACCGGCCTCTCTGGTTTACTGTATTTCCCTGCTAGTTTCTTCGTTGTATCGTAAAGCTGTTTCATATTTCCTTCTCTAGCAGCTTTTTCTGCCGTCGTTGCTAGTTCTTCCACGTATTTCTTCTTGTCGGCTCTAATGCTCTTCTTCACTTGTTTGTTTGCTTCTATGTATTCAGCTTGTGCTTGGACTTTCTCTGCTCGTGTTCGGCTGTTGTTAATTGCTGCCTTCTTGTTCTTCCTTTCTTTGATCTTGTCCAGTGTTTCTATAGAGATCCATTCCTTATGATGGTGTTTCTTTAGGCCCAGAACCTCTTGACACGTTGAAGTTAATGCTTCCTTGATGCCTTTCCAGTTGTCCTCCATACTAGTTTCTTCTTCTTTCAGTAGATCTTGTAAGGCTTGGAACCTGTTGTTGAGAGCTATCTTGAATTCATTGAGTTTGTCAGTATCTCGAAGGAAGGCTGTATTGAACCTTTGTAGTGCTGTTTGTCCACTTGTCCAGTTCTTTTTACGCTTCAGTTTTAAATTGGCTACAACTAGGTGGTGATCTGAAGCTACGTCAGCACCTCTCCTGGTTCTCACATCTTCCATTGTCCTTCGGAATTTTTTGTTGATGCAAATATGATCTATTGGTTCTCTGTAGTGTGGTCCGGTGAGATCCATGTAGCCTTGTGTATACGCTTGTGTGGAAATATTGTGCCGCCTATGACCAATTTGTTGAATGCACACAGATTTGCAAATCTTTCTCCATTTTCGTTTCTCTCTCCCAGTCCATGTCGTCCCATGATATCTTCATATCCGGTATTGTCTATTCCGACTTTGGCATTTAGATCTCCCATCAGAATAGTGAGGTCCTTTCTTGAGCACTTCTCTATGATTGACTGCAGCCTCTCGTAGAATTGATCTTTAATGTCGTCGTTGCTATCATTGGTGGGTGCATAACATTGGATAATATTCATTGTGATCCCCTCCTTCTTTGTTTTGAATGATGCTTTGATGATTCTGGATCCGTGAGATTCCCATCCTACAAGTGCATTTCGTGCTACTTTGGACAGCATTAGAGCGACTCCCTGAGTGTGTGGAGCATTATCCTCCTCGTGACCGGAGTATAGCAGCACCTCTCCCGTAGCTAGCCTTTTCTGTCCAGCTTGGGTCCAGTGGGTTTCGCTGATTCCCAGTACTGCCAAGTTGTATCTCCTCATTTCCGTTGCTATTTGACTGGTCTTCCCGGTCTCCCGCATTGTTCGGACGTTCCATGTACCTATAACAATTGTTGCTCTGGTTGTTAGAAGGGGCATCGGCCTCGTGGCTTCCGAAGGAACTCGGCTTTCACCATGAAGCGTCATAATTCTTCTAAATGAAGACCTTCTAACTCCGAGGGCAGAGTTAAAATGGTTTGAATTATTTTTTCTGGTAAGCGTCTTATTAGCGAGTTAGTTTTCTACGGGATGGGGACGCTAACCCCATGCCCAACCCTCCTCCTTTACCCGGGCTTGGGACAGGCAGTAACCCTAGAAGAGCTACAGTCGGAGTTACAAATTATTAATGTTGTAAGTAATTAACAAAATGATAACCCAATATTCATAATAAACACATATTATTGATTAGATTGTTCTATTTTTAAAATAGATATAGTTTTGGATAATGCAAACAGTTTTCAAAAGATATTTTAGATATTATTTATAATCATGTTTATGGCAAAAGGTGAGACGAAAGTACAGATTATATAGTTGGATTGGAAAAAAGAAGTGAATGAAATGCTTTGTCTGTACACTCTTTAAGTGTAGTAAAACATATACAGAACTTGGCTAGTTAGTTGGAAAGTCTATTTACTTACTTACTTGCGCCTGTCACCTCTCATGGAGGAGCATAGGCTGCCCACCAGCACTCCCCATCCAACCCTGTCCTGGGCAATCATTTCCAGTTGCTATTTACCATTTTCATGTCTGCTCTCAATTCCCGACGCCATGTGTTCTTCCGACTTCCTCTTTTCCGTTTCCCTCCAGAATTCCAAGTTAGCGATTGCCTCGTGATTCAGTTTGGTGATTTCCGTAATGTACGACCTATCCACTTTCATCGTCTTTTCCTAATTTCCTCTTCAGATGGAAGCCGGTTTGTTTTCTCCCATAGTAGACTGTTGCTGATGTTATCTGATCAACGGACATTCAGTATCATTCGTAGGCAACTGTTTTTAAATATCTGTACTTTTTCGATGATGGTTGTAGTCATTCTCCGAATTTCATCCCTGTACAGTAGAACTGTCCTGACGTTCGTATTGTAGATTCTCACTTTGATATTGGTTGACAGTTGTTTTGAGTTCCATATGTTCTTCAACTGTAGGAATGAGGGGAAGTCTATTTAATCTACTTATTTCTAGTCGTGTTTGTTTAGTTATTAATATTCGTTAACAGAGTATATACATAATGTTAAAGGGACCATCAACGGATCTCAAGTCTGACTTAATATTACTGAGTGATTTTTAATCTTAATGATATATGAAAAAAATTATTCAGATAACAAAATTAAGTGTGTAGGAGTTTTTGACAAATGATAAGCAAATTATATAGATCCATATATGTGTCATGATTACCAAGGTAGATGTTATAACATTTCTCTTCACTGATGTTGTGTAGTGAAATTTAGTTTTAAAAAATGTAATTGAACTAGAATTTAATCACATAGTTAAGATGAAATAGGCCTTATGTGAAATCATACAAAATATTTGTGAAGTTTTTAATAAACAGTAGTTTTTCAAAAGTTTATTAAAAGCTTTACAATAAATAATTTAAAGGTTTTGAACTAAAATTCCACCAGAATGAAGATCTATAAACTCTTCTTTACAATATTTTCTATCAAACTACATAGTTTTACTGGAGTTGTGTATATGTATATGCAATAATGATCATTTGACCCAAGTAATACTGAAATGTTTATTTTAACGGAGAACGTGTGGTCTAATCATCCATGTGCCTGATTTGTAATTTAGGACAAGATATAAAGTCTGCCCAACTAAACTCGATTTCAGCATCTGTGTAGTACAGTTGGCCCTAAGGTAACCGGTGTAGCAGTCTTGTATATGAATTAATTAATAACAGTTAGTACCAGTTAGCTATGTAGTTGAAAGCTGATTTTTTTCTTATATTGGACTGATCTTCCAGAAGTATCTATATTGTTTTTAATATTCTTATAACTCTAAATATCACAGTTTTATTTATAAAGTTGTTAAATCACGATATCTAAACAGCGGGAGTGCATGAATTAATGGTTAGGTGGTCTAAACTTTTAGTTATCAATCAATAGATCGATGAATCGAGATCCTCTCCACCTACTTTGGCCTAATCAAGCATGTAATATCACTAATCTTCACAAATAAACTTGCGCTTTGTAAAATAATTACACTGAACAGAATAGGTACAGATAGCTATTAATACTTCCAGTTTTGTTCCGTCTTATCTTAAAATAAACAGTACAACAAGGATGAAATCAGTACATTCAGGTAGTAAATTTTGTTCCAGCGCACTAAATGACAGTATTGAGAAACTTCTTCAGGGTGGTTAATTAGCTTGACTACATGTCATAAGATCATAATATGTATTTATAAGAAGAAACTAACTATCTTTTCCTATTTATGATTTCTTGTTTACATAACAGGATTATTTACGTCATCTAATTAAATACGGTCATGAACTTGGTGAAACAGAATTGAACATAACTAATCAAATTCAAAATAGAGCTGAACAATTGAAAAACGAAATTGATCAAATAGCTAATAAACTAACTAATCAAATTGACAAAGAAATTGGGAATGAAATGAAGCTAATTGGCCAATGTGCAGGGTCCCTGTATCCATTAATTGCCCAATGTGAAGTAGCCTGTCGATATGCTAATGCACTGAAGGATTTTGGAAGGTTAATGATATTAATAATAGTAATTTTGAAGTCTATTTGTTGTTGACTGGAATACTTAATTAAAAATAACATCGATGGTTATACTTTTTATTTTGAGAAAAACGCGTATATATGAACTTCATGACATCATAGGTCATTGCACTAATTCTCGTCTATCCGAGTGGTTTCAGTTCACGTCGTTACAGTCAGCAACAACTATTGGGAAGAAAATTAAAGGGGTGAGAAAATATGTGGAAAATACAATCTGAAATGACCAATTTAGTTAAGTACTAAAAGTAGAATACAGACGAAGATATGGAATGAATTCATCTGCGCAACTAAAACAGATGTAGAGCCATTTGTTAGAAAAAACCAACAACAGATTGGAATTATCACCTGATTTGTAAATACTGGATTGCAGGATCAAATCTGCATGTTCCACTTTGATTTAGGCAACCAGTAATATCATTAACTTGCACGAAAAAGTGTCATTCAAAGTCTAGCACATTAATCTGCATTTGGTTACTGAGTTTTAATTTTTCAACCCCAATCGGTGTTATCTGAGTAGTTCAGTGGCAAATATTTTAAGCAAGCACCTGAATCACTTGACCTTAATTCTCTAAGAACATGAAAAGATTGCGCTTTTTAATGATCTACCTTATTAGTGTTAGCAAACACGAAGCGTAGATGAAGTTCGGACTTCCTGGAAAAAGTATCAAGCATTAAACACTGTTACAAACGTTCATTCTTAAAGTATCGTGGAAACGATAAGTTAGATTGTTATTTAATAAGTACTTGGCATAATTAATAAAAGATTAAATACATCATTGTTCTACCAGAATCCAAGCAGGCGGAACAACCAATGAAATGTATATTTTACTCATAATTAAGAGCTTAAAGACAATCAATCGCATTGATAGTCAGAATGACTTATTTTCGCTAAACGAGCTAACCTATTTTTTTTTATTCGAACAGTTTTAATATTATGAACAGCAGTGATAATCCAGTAGCTTCAACTGAACTATCCAGTATAAAGAAATAGACAAAAAATTAGAGAGACGTCTCAAGTTGTACTTAGCATTTCCTTTAATCACCGAAACGCTATATTTTCATACAGTCTTGTACATATGTACATATATACAAACTGATTCAAAGTCTGAATCAATTTGTATGCCAGATAGTGTTATTTTTAATCCGTAATCACTCGCCTCTATTTCTGTATTTATCTTGATTCATGTGTAAATGATTATGTATGGTGGGAGGCATGTACCGGTCTACGTATTTATTTCTCTAATCAGCTTAAAAATTGTTGAAAATTTCAAAAACTCATTCGCATACGCATAAATATTTGCTTGTTAAATTATGTGAATTAATTCACTCTCTCCTTTGTGTTCTGAGCATTTTGTTTGGGTTGAACTTTGATGGAGTTTTGTTCTCTGAGCTAGATAGTTTAGTCGTGGAGCTTTCATCGTTCTTCTGAACGACATCATCAGCACAAACTTCAGATACAAGTGAAGCGTTCGAATTTCTCCCTATGTGTTTGGGTTGAAGGTTTGAAATAATTTTATCCTAACACAATTTCGTTCCAACTTCTGAATATCTTATACCATTAGTGGATTATTATATTATCGGCCAATTAGTTGGATTGTATACGAAGTTAAAGATGAACATATAAACCTTCCTGCACATCCTCCTTGTTTACATTAAAATTTATCGTTCTCAATTCTTATAATCTGGTATTTGACATGGATTAACGCATAGTGAAGAATAAACATAACTTTTGTTAACCAGCCCCTTTAAATACACATTTTCTTTCTACAAGGTAGTTTCAAAAGAATTTATCATATGTGGAAGTAAACATTTTGAACAATAAATCTTATTTAATTAATTAAAATACTTAATCTAGCATCTCAAATTTTTGACTATCACTTTAAATAGAGAGATTGTCGAACTACTGTGTTTCTTGCACACACAATGTATCACAAATTTTATTGCTTACTTTAGGCATTATAATTCAAGATGAAAATCAAACCGACGGTTTGAAATTCAGAATCTAGATTTTTATTTAATTTTACAAATCTTGTGAGTGTAGAAGTTATTCTGTCTGAGCACGGTTAGTTGAAATTATCTGTTAAAAAATATCTTATTCAAGAAATATGATTATATGTATGTTCAATAGGCCTAACTGATCTAATTTTCTGAACTTAATTTGTCTAGGTTTGAAAGTGAGGTAGCCATAGTCAAGATTTAAGAATTAGTTATTTATTGACTTAATAGTTCAAATTTGTTGGTAAACGTTAGAGATCAGCAGAAGTGGTATTCGATAGCCATTAATTTCGGTCAAATAAGTAGATCATAATTGAAACTAAACCATTCTTAATTGATTTATACTTGTTCATTAATCAACTGGGATTCATGAAGTTTTCACAAAATAAGCTACCACCGTTTGCTGGACTTTAACACACATTACTTCAGTAAAAATATGAGAATATGAAGGTTATTAATTTTAGAGTTGAAATAATGGGAAATCAAGTAAGACGTTTGGAAGTTACCTGAACTATTCTAATCGAATTACCAATTAGTTAGTTATATAATCAGTCTAGACGTGTAATATTCCAATTAATTGTTGAGTGTGTTAACGGTAATAAATGATTATAAGTTAGATATATATTATTATCAGAAGGGGTTTTGTGGAGATTGCAGTAATTTCGATAATTGAGATCATGAGTCAATTGAAGCTAGACCACCATGGAAAACCTGGAGGCACTAGACGGCCGTTTCGTCCTATTGTGGAGCTCCTCAGCAGTGCGCATTATGTATTTCTTAATCTTTAAAATATTCTTTCGTTTTTTAATTGTTTTTAAAATAGACCAGAAGAAGTACTTTTCTGTTTTGATCAAGTAAACGAACAACTGAGCTATTTGGGACAAAAGAAAATTGAGTATTTAGGAGGTAAATTAGACGTTATTTGGTTAATATGGTAGCCTTTAATACATAGCTTAAACGATTCTAAATAAATATTTGTGTTTCTCAAAATACCTTTGAATTTTGCATACCCTTTAAGTGCTTTTCATGAATCGGATGGAAATAAGTGTTCGTTCTACTGTGGTTATCAGCATTATTCTTACACGCATTCCATACGGTATAAGTACGGTCCAACAGGGTTCATGGTACTCGTAATGTTATGCTATAGTATTTTGCTATGCTGTTCAGGTTGTACAAAGGTTGAATTGCCCCCAGTTTATCATGAAAGTAATGTAAAATTACCCTCTTGCAAAGTATACTTTTAATAGTGATTTGGTATTATATTATAGATAAATAAGAAGTATCCACTACCAGTTTATACCATTTACAACCATATTCTTAGGTAACATAAAACGAATGAGGCTTATTGACCAAATATAAGTTTAAGTACTTGACTTTAAGTAACGTACTTGATCTGCCATAGGAAGTGATAATTCAGAGCTGGCTAATCCAAAGTAAGCCGAGCAGGGTTGGTCCTAAAAGCTAATGGTTCTAAACCGAATGTTTAAAACAACAAAACCATTATTTTACACTTTGAGTAGTATAACCTTACTGTAATTTTATGGTACATGATACAAGTTTATTTAATGTAAAGTACAACTTCAAGGGTCGTAATATCCTATAGGAGGGAATGAAATATCACCAATCTTTCTCGATATTTTCATTGACATATTTTACAGTCTTCCATGTATTGATAGCTTGAATTATCATAATCTGCTTTTATATAATAGTACTTTACTATTCAACTAGTAGGAGCTCTATGAAACGTACAAATTCCTTCACCGAACACGCATCGATTTCTTATTAATAGTTACTTTCAATAATCATAGTATAGGCAAGTCAAGTTTTCTTTCAAATTCTACGAAAGGAGTGGCATGCTACAGTTATATGAGAATTAACAAACCTGGAATTGATAAATCCTTGTAATGTTTTTAATTGACCTAATCAAAATGATAGTATAGTTCAAGTTTAGATTAGTAATTTTGTGAAGCGTTTATTCATCATATTATTTCATCACTCTGATTATCTGTTATTGTAGTCACATAAATAAGCTTCATCAACTTTCTCAAATAGCGATATTGTTTGAAGTTACTTTTGACTTTACTTTCGTTCTTTAGAATGTTACTGGTGGATGATTAAGGTAGAATATTTTGAGGAATGGGTTAGTAAATCAGGTTGGACAGTGGAATTACGTCACCTAGAAAATCACTGAAAACCAGAGTAAACTAAAAGAGGAGGGGGTTCATAATCCTCAACAGTTTTTTGATCTAATACGGGTTAGTAACGAAAACTAATTTTGAGTCAAACAATCTGTACAAAGCCAGAGCAACTCGATAGTAATTATTCTGCCTAAAATCATGTTTAAATTCTAAATACTACTCAATAGTATATAAGTAGCAACAATCATTTAGAAAATAATCCTAATCGACATTACAATAAACATCATTTTCAAAAACCCTCAGTAAATCTTTAAATCTCTAACATGAATTAATTTCACGACACAACTCGCTCTTCATGTGTTACTCTAATTTCTGTCGATCGTAGTATACACTGACCCTTAAACACCAGACAACAGTAGCTAGTTTATCATTTCAAAATTATCTTTTTATTTGAAAACTGAGTTTGCTATTGATTTCAAGTAAAATAATTTATATTAGGCGGTTAGAGGCACTCAGTGAGAACTTGTGAACCAAGCTTCGATGTCACTGAGCATTCACTAGCAAGATGTATATTAAATCTTATGAGAAACGTATAAGAATGATGCAACTCAGATTTCAACTTAAACTTACAAGACACTGAAATTTTCGAATGACTATGTTAGTTAATTAAAAAAGATCTCTAAAAGGAATATAAATATAGTAATAAACAGTAATTTATGAGAATACTAAAAATGTATCTAACTGTTCGCGCTCAACATTTACGCATACTCTATGCAGAAAGCTTCTCTCCTTTCATCCTTATCTGATGCCAACTTAAAAATTATTACAAATTGAGGATTGTTAGATCCGTAATTTATTTCTTGTCTAAAACTCCTCAGTAGTGCCCACTGCAGAAGTGGATTGCGCTACGTGACACGTTACACTAAAATTGAAGAGATGGACTATTGCAATCTGGCTCACTTGTCCAAAGGAACATCATCACCGTAAGAACAGTAATCCCAGGTCTCAACCTCTTACAGCGTCTCTAGTGTGTACTATTGGCTAACTTAAAGCTAGGACTAAATCGTACAGCGATTCCTGGTTTAAATTTATTCTCTAACCGATGTTAGTTAACGACTTGAACTGTCTGTACATTTATTCTTATTCTGATAGTCGTCTGAAATTTTTTTTCAACAGTTTGATGCTTTTTTGGAGTGTTTTTTTCATCCATGAATCTTTGTCTATTTTTTTACACGACTGATTAAAAATGAGCGCTTTAGACGATTGAACAACTATTTAACATTGTCTTGGAAAAAAAGAAATTATCTCACTAATTCCCATTAATTTTATCTTTTTTTAAAAAAATAATTAAAGTGTATCTGGGATGATATTTAAGGAGTAGATATGTTGAACAATTTATTTATATTGTTGACATAAAATGAGATGACTAACAACACTTAGTTTTTGAAACGATCATAACATGTCACCTACGAATGAAATGTCGGATAATGGATACTTTTAGAGTAAGGATCAATATGTTAGATGAGAATATATAAATATTAGAAATTGAATTTTTTCTTAAATCCACCGATAGGCCATTCAAAATTGTTGTTTCATTAAATAGTGTGGTAATGATAACAGTAACGAAGTTTGTGGACAAACCAATTACATTTTTGGGGCGAAGCTTATTCATCTAAATGACCACAGAACACTCTTGTATAATAGCTAATATCAATACGTGATGAAAACTATAAACAAAGATCCATTATTCATGTTAAAATCGTTTATCAATCATAATTTTAATACTTTTTAAAATTATAAGTCATTTCATAACCAAACGATGTTTTCTCACTGATTAACAGGTAATTCAAGGTCGTCCATATAATTGACTGCCACAATAATACTAATCATAATGATAGACAAGCATACTTGAAGAAATCTTAGCACCGACTAATCATAACTAGATAGCTATTGTTAACCAGAAAGAAAAGGAAAGTTGTATCGTCCTAATTTTTAAGCTGATGTATGTTCATGATGAGAATCACTTTTAAATCATATAAAATCTTGGAAGAAAACTACTTTAACCATCTAAAAATATAAAAGTAGCCAAATTCAAACTTTGTCTCATTAGTGAATATTTCTGGGTGCTTTTAAGTGAAAAAGCTATTTAGTCATATCTTTCAGTTCCTCCTGATGTGTGACACTAAAATATGCTTAATGGCTTTTAATAGTTTTAGAATTTTTATTGGAAATGAGATGAAAAATATATAGGGAGTGATAGACTGCTTAACTATGCCTCAAAGCTTTTATTAGTGTGAAATTCTATTAGTTTCCCTACAGATCTCTGAATTTACTGGCTTTCTAGTGAAAACTCTATCTCTGAGTTATTTCCTAAGTAGTTCAGAAAACGGTGAATGTCGTTCAACTGTACGTTTCTTAACCTTATCATGCGTATAAATGAAGTATTTCTTGTAGTTTCTACTACTCTGAAAAGTCACAAAAAGTATTTCGATGTAGAACAGCTTACGTTTTTACTCTATAGATTTTTATTGAATATGTAGACTGAGATGATAATCGTGGAGTATTTATCACATATCACTATTTTCTGTCTTATTTTCTCATTAGCACGTATAAAAACATATTTCAAAAATGGCGGTTATAGTTATTGTGAAGATGGGATAGAAACAAAAAGTCAAACATTCAATTCATCATATTTATTCGGAAGTATTGAATCTGAAAAAATTGTAGAGGAATTTTCAAAAAATGAAATTATCAATCGTTCAGCTATTCATAAACAAAATGAACTTAAATTAGAGCTTAGTATATATACTTAAATCCTGATCAAGTATCGGTCGGTGTAAATACTAGTCCAAGAGAGCTAGAAACATTAACTGGTTATAATGAAGATAATCGATTTAACAATAATGATAATGAATCAAATTTACTTATTTCAGCGTAAGTTGATTTTACTTTTGTTTTTCGTATTACGTTCTCTTAGCTATGATGATAAGAGGTCACAGAAAATCATGAATTTGAGTCTCACGCTAGCTAACATTTGTCAGCAAATACTCACAAAATCTAAGCTCAAGGGTTTCATGTTGTTCTGATTCAACTACTGAACGTAAAATAGTTGATTCATTCAGACTAGTGAAAACATTTAACAGGGTCGACAGGACTGAAATTGAAGACTAAATATTAGTGTACTTTGTTATACATAGATAGGTTAGATATTATCAGCTCTGGCCTCTATAATAGCCGCATGACTGTTCGGTAAAGATTGAAGACTAGAATTCCAAACTTAATTTATCGACCTAAAAATGGAAATGCTGAGAAAAGACAAAACGTGTTCCAAAATACTTCAACCAGAAAGTTATCCAATCTCTAATGTTCAATTCTTAGGATGTTTTTTTTGTCATAATCATCATGATCGTAATAATCGTTCTATTCTATGTATGATTTAAATACCAGTTATTCCTAGTATTTATTTAATTTTCTGCCCATTTCATTAATTGCTGAAAAAGAACAATGTCATGAAGCAAATTTGATTTCTTGAAATTTGTCCAGTAATAAAACTAGAAAAAATTTCATTTTCCTAAAGTGTTTATTTAAAAAACGAACATTTATTATTCCTTAACTTGAATTCATTTGTTAAACTGAGATTTATGATTGTTTATTTCTAAATTGAAAGTATTACTTATTAATTTAATTAAATATTAACGTACAGATTTTACTGCAATAGTAGGTCATGAAATAAATTAATTCGTTCTAAGTGTATAACATGAAGCTTATTGAAATTTTGTGGATCATTAAGATAACCAACAAGGAGCTGTGAACATATAAACTCTAAGAAGTGACCTTTTTCATATTAAAGAATCAAGTGACTCGATGATCGGTAACCATGTCATAATAATAATAATAATAATAATAATAGTAATAGTTTTAAATTATACCATGAGAACAAGTAGGATCCGTAAGGTTATAGTAGGTCATTCCCAAAGAGCTTAGTAATGACATTTCTGATTATTGAACTCGACTCTACAGATTAAAATCTCAAGGATGACATTAGTTCCCTAGAGATATGTCTGGAATGAAGGCTGATGAACATGAGTTTAGTTGTTGGAATTTTCTTCGATTGCTTCCGACCATTTAAAATCAAATGGAGTTTGGGGACTATCGGTAATATTTAAGCAGATATAGCATCAAGGGGGTATGGTTTTGCTACACTCTTAACTTTTATTGTCTATCTGTTTATATCGATAAATTCTTTATCGATGCTTCTGTAGGTCTCAGTGCGACAACAAATATTATGATGAATTTTATCTGCGCTTCCCTTTATTTTCGCTTCATTTTTACTGGCAAGCTGTGAGATGCTGTAAGCAATTGAATGTATTCCAGTCTTCATGTAAAGTTATTAAATGACCAATAGCATTGGTTAATTACCGTGCTATTTCACAAATTGATTGAAGTTGGAAGCATATCCCTTGGATCACAACTCAATGGTTGAGTGCTCACCAAGAAACCCATAGGAGTCCACTGCTGGGCAACCTTAAACCAGAATGAAACTGCAATCCAATATCCTTTTGTTTATTATGGTACCCCAACTGAGATCGATTCATGATAAATGCCACCTACCAATCAAAATAATTATGGAACCAATCCAATAAATGATGATTCATAAACACCATAATTTTTATCAAGACCATTATCAGCACCAGACTCAACAATAAGAAATTCTTTAACAGATTTATTATCAAGTCGTATAAATGAAATTTCGATGGTCTACATCCCATAAAAAAAAATAAACAATGAATAAGCAAGATAACGTAATAATAAGAAATGTAATATAAAGTCATGTAATATTTAACGAGACTAAAAAAGGTAGTTTACTTCATTCACACTAAAACACGTTGTTAGTTTACTAGTTTTACACCCCTTTCTTAATAACACACACACGTTACGCAATCTTGTGTTATTGTAATCAGTATTATTTATACTGTATGATTTATTTTATTCATATTTAGACCTTATGACTGTTTATTATTAACATTTTTCATGGGATTTGATCCTTAAAAATTTCATTTATACGACTTCATAATAAATTTATTAAAACCTAGTCATCACATGAGATTTTTCACTATTGTATTCCCATGATGAACAAGTATTAACTAGTGAAATATTTCTTTTGTATGTTTGAAAGTAGCTTTCTTTAGGCTATATTTCTTCTCTTATAAATTTAATCTACTGTAATATTGCATTATCTTATTGTCTTTTGCATAATCCAAAATAATCTACAATACATGTCCTTATTTCATATTTTATATAGTAATCGTTTTAAAACAAATGAAAGCTTCTTAACACCAAGAAATGGTTATACATCTGATAATATGAAACATAAATCAATGATTAAAGAACAGTATAATCTATCCAAATGTCAAGTAACCAATGAATTAGAATTTGATGCAAGAGTTAGTACTGATTTACGCGATGTTTGGCCTACTGGATTAGTTGTAAATCAAACGAATGGAGACATTTATGTTGTGGATAGAGATAATTCTAGAATCAAGGTATAAGTTTATGATTTTACCTAATCTATTTTACCGATATCTTGTTACATAGTTTACGAGATTTAACCACAACAGGCCAACTGGAAACTCCTCAATTATGTGAATTAATTTGTTGTTTATCGCTATGTTTTCAAGCGTAAATAACAGAAATTCATATAATTTGTTTTGCATACTCAATGCCATCTACTTTAGTAGGAAAATTTCAAATTATTTATTCAATTGATAATATGTTGGTTTGTTTAAAACAGATGATCAGTTATGTTGTATGGATAATTTCAATTTAAAAACTGAATATAATTCAGTGCATGGTCAGTAAGTTCACTACTAAACAGTTAGCTTAATATAGGTCACTTTCTTCACCTAACTGTTTACTTCGTTTAGTCGGCAGTATATATATATCTACCAAGTAAAATGAACATATGTTTAATTCTGAATATGTAGTATTAGTTTAAACTGTCTAACGTTTCCTAAGGTAGATGTTGCTAACAGCTTATATTTTAAACTTCACACTAAAAAATAAGAAAATTTTTATGATTTAAGTGTCTGATAAATAGGGGACAAACTTCAGAACTGTATCTTGCATATATGAGATTAAAACTTGTTTATATCTACTCACTAGAACTAGGTAATCAGCTGCCTACTTAGCTATACAGTTAGGGTGATTTAAAGTTATCAGTAGATAGCAAAGCAAAGTATATTTTACCTATTTTTTGTTAATTCAAATTGGAAGACGACTGACTAAATTATCACAATTGAACTATGAACGTATCATTAGATTTTACACTATCAGACGCCAATGGCTTGTTTTGATGACTTGTGTAAATTGTTTCATAGTTATTAACCATCACTTTGCAAAAAGTAGAATTTCGTTTATTGATGTATTATGAGAAATTTAGATTTTTATGACACTATTTCAAAACAGCTCTAACACTAAATAGCTCACTGTAACTAGGAGCAGTTATTTGTGTTTCAATACTGATCAAATGTATACACAGTAACTTCATCATTTTAAATGATACTGATAACTATGCTTTTTATTATATACTTAAAATCAGTTGTCCAATTACTAGGAATAGAAACTATTGGCGAAATGAACACAATCCTAAAGATTTACCTTAGGTTTTTCGATATTTATAACTGAAAAATACTCAAAAACATTGACTCAGAGCTCATGGATTCTTGTCAGTTTCTCTATGTTCGGTAACATTTTCATATCAATATTACTTTATTGGTATGGTTGTATTTAACCATATAACAGACAACTAATTTCTCCAATACCGTTTAGTTAAGTTGTTTTGAGAAAAAAATGTTGATAACCTTTAAAAAAAAGAAATTCCATTTAGACAATTTGTTGAACAACTTTTTCTTCTAATCTCTGCACAGATTTTCTCTAGTGAAATAAAAAAGATCAAATAATCTCCCATGTTGAATATATCATTCAACATTAATAAACAGTTTGATATATTTTGATCATTCTTCTCTATATTTCTTGTCTATTTCAAAGCTTTTTACCCATGATGGAACATTTATTTCAAGTTTAGGTGATACAGGTGAAATGACTGATCGACTTATAAGTCCATTTGACATCACACTATCATCCAGTCGGGGAATTATATTTGTATCAGACTATCAACGAGATGAGGTAGGATATTAGCTTGCTTGTAGTCTTTATGTATTCAATTTCAGTAAATGTAGAGATATGTTAATGATTAATAAACCAATGAACTAATTTTTCCGTTTCAGAGAAAACTTAAAACTTTTTAAAATTTTGTAGACATTACTTCCAGAAGAATCATTGGCATTAATAAAGCTTCAGTTTACGGTTTCTTGTTGATTGAACTTAACAACTTAAAACAAAAGCTTTAGTAGCCCTTCATTTTGACGTTAATTAGACCGCACGATGTTGTCGACGAGCTCACCAATTTAATGGCCGGGGATCTGACTCCAGTTAGGTCGTATGAATGATTGCTGTCAAAATATACATCCTTACTATTCTTGTATATTATTATCGACTTAATCCACGTTGGTGAATAACGGAATTAAATAAGTCAAATACGAGAAAGGATTTCGAATACAAATATTTTATGCAATCGTTGATGTGAATAGATAACCAGAGGAAAGAAGCGAAGAGAAACGATGCGCAGTGGAGAAGGCGTATGAGCCAACTCGATTTAACCAAGCATTAATCAATATTTATAGTCAGATAAACATAGGTCACAGACATGTGATGAGTAGGATAAGATGTACACTTATATCGACTCATATAAAAACAGTCATGGTTAATAAGTGAATAATTAACAAGGTCAAAACGTGACTCTATAATAATGGATAAATTGGCCTGTCCAGAAACTAGAATAAGTTATATGTGCATAACATAGTAACAGACACTACATAGCATAGTATTTATGATAATCGCTGTTTGAGATTTAAAGTTTTAGAATATAATTAAATTTTAAAATGAATTTATTTATATAGACCAAATCTGAAGGTTCATTTTATCAATAATTATCGTTTTAAGTTTTCATGGAGAATATACACTTGAGATCAACGCAAGTAGTACATATAAGTATTCATTTAAATGATTCACTAAATTATGTTCACTTTTTATAAGTTTAAGTCTATCATAAACATATTAACATAAATGTCTCGAAATCATACCTCAGTGTATGTAAAAATTGGATACAGTCAAAGTAATTAGAATTGAATAGTTGATAAAAGTAAAATTTTATATTGTCGAGTTAACAGTTGCTTAACCTATTTCACTATACTGATCAAGATGGAAATAGAATGAAAATTTATACAAATGTTAGTCAATATTTGACAGAATAGTCTAACACAAATTAGGCTCTCAGTATATAGAAGACATAATTAATTTGCTAAATGAAATGTTGGAATTATTTAACATTCAATCGTTAAGATTACTTCAAATATATGTTTCACAAACTAGTGACTGGCTTCAAGAGAAATTTCCTAGAGTTCTAGTGAAAAACAGTGATCGGTGGAGTTCAAGCGGATCTGTTGTGAGTTCGTAACTCACTGGAGACAATGGTGGATGTGTCACTCAGTTTCGTGGATTAGTTGAAGCTAGATATTAACACCATCGGATGCTATCTCAGTGGTTTAGAGGTTAAACGTTAGCGCGCGAGACCGATAAGTCCTGGGTTCAAATCCCTCCAGGCGAGGTCATAGGTGCTCACAGCTGAAGATTCCCACAATAAGACGAAACGGTCATCCAGTGCTTCCAGGTTTTCCATGATGGTCTAGCTTCAATTGACTCATGATCTCAACTATTAAAATTATATGAAAATGTTTAGAATCTGTTTGTATTTAAACATGCGTATAAATTATTGAATTAGTTTTGATTTCTATTCCAGTGAATGATTGATCTTATATTTATTAACTAATTCATAGATATTATAATTTTCTATTTGTCCTTAACACATGAGGTTTTTAATAATATCTCTTTAATGAACTTGGTTTAGTGAATTGGATAGTAATTAGTTTGAAATCTGTTTGTGGCGGAATGAGTTATACTCTTTAGGGAAAAATGGGTTTTATCAAAGTCTTTAATACTTCTTTCTAGACTCTATTTGGTATGATGCTTAGATAAAGCAGAAATTCATAGGTATTACTTCTAGTGACCAGAAACTAGGTACTTCATTATTTGTTTTCAAATTATTTATAAGGAGGATAAGATTAATTATCTTTACTTATTGATAAACATATACAACTATAAAACTGCTTGAATAAGTTTTCTTTATTATTTTCTACGGTATGTACAATAAATTCAACTTTTTTTTCTTTATTCCTCATAAAGATTCGACTATTCAGCTTCGATGGACGTTCACAGGGTACATTAACAAAAAATAAACTTAAACATCCACGTGGAGTATGTTATGGTATTGGATTATTGGCTGTTGTTGAAAGTCGACGTCATCATATTAGTCTTTATGACATCCGATGTGATACTAATTCACCAGTACATCAAATACCTGTTGATAAAGGATTAGCTGGAGAAGAAGATAATTCAAACAAATTTATTTTTAACAGTCGAACTGCGCTTACTGAACCGTATTATGTTGAATTTGTTGATGATGGTGGAGGATGCTTAGGTGTTACTGATTGGGCTGCTCCAAGTGTCAAGTTGTACTCATTAAAGACTGGTTCTTTTCTATCTTCTATAGGTGGTTATGGTACAACAAATGACAATGTATGTTCATAATACCATATTATTTATTAGAAGTTTAAGTTAGTTGCGTGTTTTTTTTCGATAATGAATTCCAAATCTCTGGTGACATTTCAAATTGGTAAAAAAGATTAATGGAACTTCCCGAAACTAAACGTTTCAGTCAGTTAGATTACTTTGGAAGAAATAAAATTTATCAACAATGATTTCTAATTGAATTTCCATTCACAATTCCTTGGAGTTGTAGACAAACAAGTTAGTAAAAATAGATAGGATGCAATAGATTTTATCACTGAACATTCATACTGATTGTAAATATGCATATTAAGTATGAAGCCTGATATCTTCATCTTCATCTCATTTCTAAATTTATAATCTACGTATGGAAAAATGAGTTTTCTTCACTCGAATGCGATTATCAACTGAGTAGGCAATGTGCACATTGATACTGAGACACTTATCGTTAAAAATTCACTTAAGAACATAAAATAAATATCTACCATTATAACTTCCATAACATGTAAATTTTATTTTACATAGGAGGTTATTACGATGAATACTGTTAGTTTTGTTAAATAAGGATTTCTGTGACATAACTACTACCTTAAAATGTTAATGTTTATTTCCTTTAAACTGTGGAAAAATAGTTATCACTAACTTAATCCTAAATAAATTAACCGTTTTATCAAAATAATGACCTAATCCTCATTAGTAATTTGTTTTCACATGGGTTTTCTAGTAAAGAGTTAACATTGATCAGGTTAACAATGTCAAGAATGTAGACGAATGTTCACTATTAAGAGTGATAAAAGATATGTTATGTTAAATAGTGACTAAAGTTGGGAAAACTCAAATAATGGACTTTTGTATAGGGTGTTATATGTTACTGCACTTATTGTGAGGTCTGAAACTTCTGAGTTGGACCGGTTTTAGTGTTTAGAGATTGTGATGTTCAAGAGCGATATAGAGTGATGAAACAGTGGTCCGATTATTCATTTCGTGTAAAGTAGCGATTAAAACAAAATCTCAATTTTCTGTATATAGGGCCCCATGTAGCTAGAATTCCCCCTATTTTGTGTTCACTTACAGAACATACAGCCTATTCCAAGAAATTTCTATCCCTTTTCATTTTTAATTGAGTATTCTAAAATGTCATAGATGATTAACTTTATTTATTATTGGTTTTGTAAACGACTGAACTGTGCAGATCTCCACTGTAGTCTATAATCGATTCAAAGCTTGATAAAAATTAGGTTGTTTTAGAAAGTTTCCTGGTCTCAGTTCTATACAAGATGGTGTATATTACTGATTTTACTTCGTATGTAGTCTGCAATTTTATCTATTACTGCCTAAAAATCAACGTTTCAAAAATGTAAACCTTTTTCACAGACAATTATTTGAAAAAGTACTGGGAATATTGCTTTTATAACATATTTTTTTTCCCAAGAATGACGTTAATTTGTAAGAAAAGTTTATGTACCATTTCTTGACAGCTCGTGTTCAAAAGGAAATTCCATGAATACTGCACCTTTCTTAAGCCATATACACATATATTCGTATCTACGCACACACATACATTGTGATTACAGATGTAGTAAATGATCACTTCATTTTGAAACACAGTCAACTGTTTATGATTTATGTAAAAATATCGAAAATTTTCCTGCTTTTCACTTATCAGTGAGGATATATATGCAAATGTTTATTCACTGAACAATTTGTTTCTGATATACTTTTATTCTAGTAAGAAAGAAATATTGATTTTCGTAGATAATCACTCATTTATAACATGTATTACATTACAACCCTCTCTTTTCTCCTACCATTTTCATTGTACAGTAAATGGCAGTCATAAAACAGTCAAAAAATTATATAAATACACGTTAAATCAGTTTGGACACTTGGAAAATCTATTATATATATACTATTATATGTTGCTGATAAATTTGTTTACCTTCATTATTGATTTTTATGACGATCTCGAAGTGACTTAGACAGGCTAACTTGTCTGTATGGCTCCATATCATGATACTTTTTGATTATTTTTATGATTCTGATTAATTCTTTAAATGTTCTCATACTTTTACAGTTTTATTAATTTGTACACCTATTAAAAATAGATCAGTAAAATATCATTTTTTACGTAAATATTTGATGGTGATATTCCAGTATGTGGATCTTTTATATAAATGGTTATTTAAGATCATGTTTATCTAAATACTGTTAGATATTCTCCCCTACCACATAAGAGTCATGTTCTTAACTACGTATAATTTTAACTTATTTTCAAAGTTACTCATTACGTGACAAATTGTATTCGATTTTGAATTCTTCAGAAAATCAGTATTCTTCCTAGTTTACCAAGAAGAGCGACTAACCATTGTCGTACGGGATAAATAGATTGAATTCAGGACCAAACGGTTGTATGTTTGACCCCAATTTGATGTAGTTGAACTAAATAGTCAAATGTTTCGAGTCAAGATAAAACATTTATTCAGTATTTTCTAGTTTTATTGAATACTCGATTCGTTTTGCTTCGTGATGAACATCATAAGCAGGAGGTATTCTCTTCCATAATAGCACGTTAACCAATAATAACACACTAGGTGGGCGATTTTTAATCAATTTTCTTAACATATATAACCAGTTAACTTTACAGAAAGTTAAATCCTTTAGGTAAACACATATTGGTATACTGATATAGAATTCTGCTTCACATCAAAATAACTTTCTATAAGGTTATTTAACTTTAGATTTCTTGTTCATCTTCATTGTGTTAAATTTTGCATAATGAACTATAGATTGTTTGAATTTCCCGCTGATGGTTGGAAATTTGAGTAGGTCTTTCTAGTAGCCATTTAAAAATCTTGTGAAAACACCAACGTTGAATTACAACATATTCTGTACATACTTTTGTTTTATTAAGTGATGTTATCAATTACATTAAGACATCTTAGTGGAGTCGCTTTGATTAGTCACGATTTTCGTCTTCAAAAAGAAAAACCAATCAGAAAAATGTTTTATGATCACCATCTAATTCTGGTTTTATCAAATTAAAAAATAATGGGTAGATAATTCTATATGCTGGACCACTTCTCATCGGTGAGGATACACGACCTCCTCCATAGGTGTTTAGTCCTTCCTGCTTCTCAATGGTTGTCTAACTAAGATCGATGCATCATGTAATTTATAGAAATACAACAATCACCATAAACCTTCCATGGTGAATTAGGATTTCATAGAAGTAAAAATAACTGATCACAGGAAATGTAATAACCTACATTGATTTTATGTAAGGTAGAACTTTGTTTCGCCTGTCATTTGTATATATTCATTATTTTTTCAATCATAGGGATGGTAAAATTCATTTCGAATAGTTTCTCTTCCAAGTATACACTCCAAAGATTCTTGTTTCAACCGGTATTTTCAATATTATGATTAAAATGTTAATTGTTTTTCTCATTCGTTATTTCTCTGGTGAAATTTACTGTTAGTAGGGCTTCAAATAAGTAAATTACATATCGTAAAAGTACTTATAAGTCATCAGTAGCTTTGAACAGTAGAATCTAGATATTTTGGGCCCCATTCAAGAATTCTGGATGTTGAAGAATACTATAAGATATCAGATTTTAATGTCTATGAAAAACTTCAGGATGGGAAGTAATAAGACTTTGTTTATTTCACATTTACAATACCTTAAGCTTATGTGAAATAAACGAAAAGAGTGATGGTGAAGCAGTCACCTATATGTCGGATAAATATTGCTTTAATTATAAATCAATGTGTACAGATTAGAAGAAATGAATTTGGATATCTGACAACAAACGCCCAAAAGTAGCTTAACATCAACCTTCAATAATAGATCACTTTCTGGTGAAATCGTAAATGCATTCCAAAAAGTTGCGCTAAATAATCTGGCTACTTATAGGCAGTGTGCGGAGCAAATCGTAATGGATACAAAATTCCTGTAGGTTAAAGTGTACTTATTCATACCTATCTAATCGTAAGAATAAGATTCTCACACTACTAAATCGAAGTCCAGTAGTTCATATTTTAAGATTTAATAAATTTATGATATAATCCTTAACCAATTTCATCATTGACCCATTACCCCATTCGCAACATGGCTAAGACCACAGGTTATAGTTTTCCACATAAAAAGTAGCCACTGAGTACATGTATATTTAATGAAGTGGTTTCATGGGAAAACAGTTTAATCTGAAGATACTTTCTACTAAGAACCAATTCGCTACCTGAAATCAATTCAAAATGAAAAGTACATTCAGAAGACTACAGATAATTTGGACAGAACCACCTGGATTAATCTTCAAGCCATTTCACTAAGTAAATAGGCTGTCGATTATTTTTCAAAACTTCTGTTTGAATCATTATTTTACAGGTAAAATCTTATTCTATCGAGCTAAACAATTCGGTTCTTACTTTCCATGAAATTAATATCTTTGTCCTCCTTCATATAAACCAGCCAACAGATTATTTGATTTATATTTTAGCAAAGTTGCTGAGGAGACGCATACATTGACCTCAGCTCATTTTAACCAAACGGTAAGCACACATGATAGCATTCATTTTAGTTACTGACCAAGGTAAATATATTTTTTAGTAAACGGAATACACCCATTGAGACATTAAATAAGAAAGATTGGTTCAGCAAAGAGTTCTCTTTTCGGCGAATTCATTTTCAAAGCTGCACAATCGCGAATTCATACTTGTTTTTCAGGATGATAATTACAAACGGCTCAATAAGAAGTTCAATATTCGAACACCTTGTGAACACAGGTCACTCAATCAAAACGGACTCTGCGTTCAAAGTCATCTACAATGTAAGTAGAAATCTTCCAAAGGCAGTCATATTGCATCTTCTTAACATTACTGGAGCGATAGCCATATATCTGGGGAAACCAGAGTTATGTGTCCAGAAGAGATTGGTACAACCTCTTCTTTTACCATGGTCTTAATGTCTTATAATTTTTTCTTATTTTTTCTTCAAACTCTTCTTTCCTTACAGCCACCTGCTCCTCCTTCCATCTTCTCCTTAAACCTTCTACCCCCAACTGGTTTATTTCTGTTTCTATTATCCTCATGATTACATCTCATCTCAATCTCAACATTTCATCTTATCATGATGAGCCAACCCTATCTGTTTTTATGATGAACATTTAAGCCGTTAACAATCAAACTGTTATTAGTTTCCCAGTTTGAAATTTTTTGAATACCTTTGTTTATTCTACTTCACTGTTACCATGTGTAACAGAAGTTTATTAACATTATTATTGTAATTATCATCCTGAAAAATAAGTATATATATTTGCGATTGTACAGCTTTGGAAATAAATCCATACAAAAGGGAATTCTTCGTTGAAACAATCTTTCTTATTCAAGGTAAATATGACTATTTCAAGGTTGCAAAATAAAACAAACAATAGAATGCAATAAATAAGTTATCAGGTGGATATACGTCATATGTTCTAAAATTCACCTACCATTTATATAAGTGAACCATGATTGGTTGTACATGTCAACAAACATTTATTTGCTTTCATTTTCAAGGTTGTTCCTTTGTATTTTCGATCACATGACAGAACGATCAAATCCTATATGTTAAAAACAAATCAAGTATTTGATCATAAACTTTATGGGTCATATATTCAAAAAACGAAGATAATAAATAAATAATTTACCAAAACATCTCTGTTTTGACCCCAAATACATTTGATTTTCAACTGAACATAATATCTCTACTGTGAATAAGTAAGTGCTAGCTAACGGCCATCAGTGAATGAACATTTCCGCACACTTTTAGTCACCCCCATTAAGACAGAACTTGATCTAACGTAACAAGTTTGTTGCCCTCTCAATTTGTTCATGTCCACAGTCTTCAGACCAGATTAACTCTTGATTGTTGATTTTAACACAAACAATAGATTAACATCCTTAATTTGTCGTCTATCTAAGCCATCGTTAAGTGCCATTGTTGATATGTATACCAGTAGATCAGTTAACAATATTCCAACAGTTTTTTAGATCATTGATATTGGTTTGTGTCGCAAAACACAATGATACTGATCGTAAAATATAGAAAAATTTATTTAGTTATTTTTCCATCAGTCCAGTGCTTCCAGGCTTTCCATAGTGGTCTAGCTTCAATTGGCTCATGATCCCAACTATTAAAATTATTATAATATCAATAGTTGAAATCATGAGTCAGTTGAAGCTAGACCATCATGGAAAACCTTGAAGCACTGGACGGCCATTCCGTCCTATTGTGGGACTCCTCAGCAGTGCGCAACCATGATCCAACCTCGCGAGATTCGAACCCAGGACTTATCGGTCTCGCACGCAAGCGCTCAACCTCTAAAACACTAAACTGGCCGGCATCCAACGGTGTTGATATATAACATCAACTAATCCATGAAATTGAGTGACACATCCACCATTGTCTTCAGTGAGTTACTAACTCACAACAAACCCGGTTGAATTCCACTGATCACCGCTTATCACTAGAACTCCAGGAAATACCTCTTGAAGCCAGTCACTAGTTCTGAGGATCTATCTCCACTCACTGAAGACAATGGTGGATGTGTCACTCAATTGTGTTTATTGGTTGAGGTTAGACACTAACACCGTTGGGTGCTGGCTCAGTGGTTTAGAGTCTGTGAGACTGATAGGTCCTGGGTTCGAATCTCGCGAGGCGGTATCGTAGATGCTCACTGCTGAGGAATTCCATAATAGGACGAAAGGCTGTCCAGTGCTTTCAGGTTTTCCATGTTGGTCTAGTTTCAATTGACTCATCATCTCAACTACTGAAATTACTATAATATCCACAAAAACCCCTTCTGATATTATTTTTCTGTGTTTGTAGATATTAAAACGTATAGTTTAAACAGTAACTCCAGATTTATATCTCATTATTTGATTTACAATAAATGAACGATCCAAAACTACTGCATTATTTAAGTAAAAATACGTACTAAGTAAATAGTATATATGATTATGATCATGAAAGCTGATATTTAATGTGATGCATGGAAGTAAGTTCACTTGATAAATTATACTAAATTTTTAAACGCTTTGACAGGTTAGTTATCTAGAACGCTCTAGTTCTCAATCCTTCTCTAGTTAATATGACTTCATGTTGGAAACTACCACTAATTTCTTCAAAATCATCCAATACATGGCGTTTTTTTAACTAGCCACTTAACATAATGTTCATATAACAACATAATCTATAAAACTTGATCAACTTTAAGAATTGAATAAAATAAACTTAAATACCATGAAGCAAAGATTTTACGTTGGAATTTTTGTTTCTAAAAATCAAATTTACAAATAATAATAATGATAATAATAATATATCAAGTGAAACTAATTATAAATGAAGAACTTAACTCCTCTGAACAAATATATTACCTTTAAAGGAGGATTGTAATGATAAAACAATAAGAAACAAAGAAGCAAATTACGTTTGTAATTACTTAACAGAATAAAATGTAGAATTTCAACACTTTAATGCTAATAGTTTGTACTGATCTATACATAAAACAATTCAATGCATTAAAATACATTTTAAAATCTTTAAAACTTTTTATAAGTAACAATTTGTTGATCTCTTCAATGTTTTACTTGATTCTTTATGTTGTATTCTTTTATCATTTTTATTCTGTAAAGATTTTACAACCTTATGGAATATGCTATGCTCCATGGACTAGATCATTTCTAATTGCTGATCATGTTAATCACCGTATACAATCATGTCAAATTAAATATATCAATGAAAATGATAATACTATTCTGACAAATGATTTTAATAGATCAACAAAACAAACCAATGGATTGAATCAAATCCATGTTAATGGACATAAAATCACTTCTATTAATTTATCTTCATTGAAACCGATTGCTGAAAAGGGTACACATTCAATATGGCATCCAATGGCTATTACTACAGATATACAACGTAAACGAATAATTGTAACAGAAGCATTAGGCAATGTTAAAGTATTAAAATCAATGGAAACAATTTAATGCTAACTACTACTATTAATGTCATTTAAAATAGTATGAAACATTTCTGAAAAAAAAGAAACGTTTACCATTTTATTGTGATCATTATGTAATCTGGAAATATTTTCTTTTCCAACGATTTATTCAATAAAAAAACAATTTTCTATCGATAATATCATTATAAGTCTTCTATATAAATAATAATTTATGATACCATTACACAATATCCAAAATAAACTGCCACCCATGTGATTATTTTTATTTTTAAATATTAATTATTCTTAGAAATAGTTTTTAAGATTGACTCAATAAAAAAGTGAGTATCTCAAAATAATAATGGTGATATAAATAATAACCTTTCTTAGTCTCAGATACTTCTTTCAAGGAAATGAAATGAAACATTCGTTGAATTCTTTTTAATAGGTCAATTCAAAGAACTTTTAATTCAGGTAAACTACAATTAGTGTTTTCCACATGTCCATTGATCACTCCAAGATTCAAAGATAAATTGTCTAGACTAGTCACTTTCTACGTCTATCAATTCAACTGCTTCTATGGAGCAAGTTATATAGGTAGATGTTCTAGGAATTTCTATATTCGGGCTCGTGAGCACCTCCCAGTGTAGTTAATCAAAGATGTAGTTAAAACTGTTAACAGCTCTACTTTAGCTCATTTAATTCAGACGGGACATGGAACAATCTTTCGTAATGAAAATTATTTTCACATTATATTTCATTTTTATGAAACAACTATAATAAATGATAGTTTACTTATAAATCGCTAGTTTGGAGGTAGATTTTCAAAATTATTTAAACGGATAACTCAATAACTTTTAATGTATTCATCACTTATTGAATCTGGTAACTGAATTTATATGAAAGTATTGTTATCAATTTATTATAAGTAGGCTTAATGATGATGCTTTAATCTTATACACGTGTAAATTATGTAAGAATCTGAATCTTATAGTTATTTTTTTCAATGAATTTTAATCTTGTTTGTTTCTACGCTAAACATTTTAATGTATAAGTATGTCGTTTTGTCACGTAAACAATTCATGTCTTGCTGACGAAATAATATTTTAAGAATCCGTTTACTGTCGACTACTCACACTTTCATAATTCAGATTTGTGAGTAATCGTCACTCAACTATATTATTTGCTTCCTTTCAAGTTGTTCATCCCAAAAACAACACAGTCAAAAGGATTTTCTCCAATCTGGCACATTTAAATTTGTACATTGGCGAAATGTTTTGTGAAACAAAAATAACGAACATTGTATGATAAAGTGAATTCATTTTATTTCGTATAAATTAAATCCCATACAAATGAATGCTCTGGAAGGCCGTTCCATCCCACAGAAGTGTATACCCACGATCTCGCAACCGTTATCCGTTGATTACGGTAGATCAGTATCTCACACCCAACACGTAATAAACTCCAATACTCACAGATTCTCACGAGAAATACAATGGTTAGACTATGAAACTCCTAAAATCTAAAAAAATCCCATATACTTAGACAAATAGATGATACAACGGAACAACATAAAGATATTGCTTAGTAATTAATCTGTATACCAATGCACAGGTCATCGGTTAATAACCTCATGGTTCTAGCTAAAAAGTGTAGTATTTCGAAAAAACTTCCCTTTGTGAAATATCATTCTGATTGAGACAGGTCATAAGTGAAAGTGTTCTTCCGTAATAATTTGTTAAAAATTGATCGTTTAGTCTCGCAAAGTTTATGGTTGTTGGGACATTCACTCATATCACTACGTGTCTAAACGAACGTTAAATATGACTTAGTCGTTGCACATATACAGAGGTTGCACAATATTTTTGTTTTTCGGCCCATTTCATATATTTGAATTTAACCTTTCTAAATGACCTCTGTTTACTTTTAAAATAAATATTTATAAGAAACATTGTAAGTACATGATTATATTCATCAGAACCATTCATCTGATAAATAATGAGGTCAAATAGAACTAAACTAACATTCTTATGGTTACAATGTTACAAAAATACTGTATAATTTACTCTCGGATTTTTGCAAGTTTTTCGCAATGTGAAAACATTTTTCACGACAAACTGTCATCAGATAGTACTGGACAGGTGTCCTATTCTAATTCAGCAGTCATCAGATTGTAAAAGAATATATAATGTGTTGATCCAGTACACCCTACACAATTTGTTTAAGTAAATTATGAAGAGATCGTGAACATAAAAATAAGTGGTTAAAAATCATCTAAATCATGATCACTATTTCTATGGTCTCTCAATATTACATGCTGGCTTAATGGGCTGGAGGTTAGGTGTCCGTCGTGAGACCGAAGGTCATGAGTTTGGTCCCTGATAGGGTCGGGAATACAGATTGCTGAGGGATCCTGTGTTGGGATAGCATATCTATCCAATTTTTCCACGTTTTCGGTGGCTGTCAGTGATGTAAGCAGCAAAAGTTATGTATTTTGTAATACAACAACCTAAAATTGACAATTTAAAATTCAGTCATCTTCAGATAGCTGTTGAAGGTAGTCAACAGAAGACCCTGGATCTAGGTTCCATGCTGTTTGACACTAGTTAGAAGGGTATACCTGTAATCTTTGGGGATCCAATGCTCTCTGGAAGTATTTGATCTCTTGTCACCCAAATTCACATTCAGAGACGTTACCCCCACTTTACATCTCAACATGGTACATACGATGTCGAGTTACCTGAAGTAATGGCCACATTGCAACTTAATCGATAGAATTCGATCAGCATTAAGATGGACTTGAAAGACATGAAATTGGTCAATTCTCAGTGATTAATCACTTGCAATTTCAGACAGGCTTTCAGATTAAATTGTAAGGATTATGCTCAAGATTGACGAAGCACAACTTTGTTCCATTCATGGTGCATACAGATCAATGTTTTTCATGACTTATAAGTTTATAAAATATAGCACGTTTTGTCATTAATTGTAGATCTAAATTTGTTAATATCGCTGGCTGATATAGTGATCCAGGTATTCTATTCTTAACTTTTTACTAAAACTAAGCCATCGATATAATTATGACATGAATAAAAGTTGTTTTGAGTGATTGATTGAAATCAAGTTCCTTTCTAAATCAATTGTTTCGTGATTACGCTAATCCGTATCGAAATAAGATCCATTTTTACCTTGAACTATTCGAGAAAGTTGCATCAGGAAAATCCTCATCGTTTTCAAACCACGAAATCTGATGAACGAAGTATAGAAGTAACGTAAGGAATCAAACTAAGTTATTTGAAAATGTATATTTCCATAGTTTTTATCACAAACTGACCATAGTCACAATACCACGACAAACCAGAAAGCACCAAACATCCGTTCCATCCCATTATAGGAATTCACATTCATTCATATTAAAGACTCGATATGAATATTGATTATATTGTAACAGTATTCATTAAAGACTACGCATTAGTCTTTTAAAATTTATCGCAAAACTGTATCTTTATCCCGTTGTTTCCACTAATATCAGTAATCAACACACTACTTCATACTCTGGGGAAACTGTCCACTTAAAATAATAAACTATGACAGCTAAATTTTATTCATTCATCAACATTTATTTAACACTGTAGAATACAGTTAAGCTAAAGTTAGAAATCTTATATAGGGTGAAATACAAGTTCTACGTCCCACCGTAGTGAACGAGAACACGAGTGGGGATAATCGAGTGTATTTGAAAAGAAATTACAAAGCATCTCAACAAAGTCTAAGGACTTTACTGTAAATACACTTGGTGTTTTTTGACTTCTATCTTCCCATTAATTTTTAAGACCGCAGTTTATCAGTCTGTTACAAGGCAATCTGTACCAAGTGTTTTTAATTCCACCCCATTGCACACGCAAGTGTCTGTCATGACGGGTAGCTGAGTAGAGAACGCGATGGCGTTTGAAGCAAATGGAACTGGGCTCGAGCCCCAGAGTGAACATGAGTTCTGTGACGCAGGTACATCCAGCTGACGAGCTCCAGATAGGACGAAACGCGCGTCCTATCCATCATAGCTTACAACGTTATACTGTAAATAGTTTATTTGCAAAATATCAATCCATCGTTTCAAAGTTGCCTGTTCCTTTTGCAAAAACCAGTCTATCGTCTCAGATTTAATTGTTTATGCATTTTCATACCAATTGCCTTCCGTTTCCGTTCTTTCCTTCTCTATCTTCTACTGAAATACCTTCTATTCCTGACTACCGTTATATACTGCTTATATGGATATAAGTAAGCCGCACCACACTACCACTAGATAACGCATAATAATATTAACCAACAGTTTCATCTTTATCAGTGCTAGAATAGAGGAATAAGCACGAAATTCCCAATGTAAACAACATATTAATGGAAGGGCTGTGAAAATAAATTTCCTTTGGGAAAAATGACAGGTGATCTTAATGTATAAAATTAAACCTACATGAAGTAGATACAAAGTCGTATATTTTGACACTTTGAAATTTATTTACATTAGTCAAGTAATTAAGGATAAATGTAGTGAATAATAAATATTTTTTTCTTACAAGATTTATAATTACAAAGTACAAAGTGTGCATAATGGCTATAATCATATTGTTTATCAAAAGTAAGTTATTTACGTTATTACACAATAAAAAAAAGAAATATGTGAAAAAAAACAACCAATAAATCGTACGTTAATTCTATTTATATTTTGAAAACCATATTATGTTTACAATTCTAACCATTATTATTAAACTAAATAAAGACTCCTACATTTAAATCAAGGATTTTTGATAGATCTCTATGATGCTCAGACATAAATGTCTAATAAAGATAGCTTATAAACAATGATAACATTTTTTTGAGTAGTTGTCAGATAGTAATTGTGTATGGTATGTTGGATAGATTTCTTGACAACTGATCTCATCCGATAGCATCTTCCCTGTTGTGTTAAATGTGTTTTATAAATTTTATTTAAGTAATTGTTATACCAGATGATTAATGATGACTTTGAAACTGATGAGACGAAATGGAGTGGTGAAAAGTCTGTGATTTGGTACTTTCTGATGAAAGATTACTGGACAGATTTAACGTAGGTTCATTCATTATCATAACCCTCTAGATTTATCCTAATGTTTAGGATTTGATGGTAACCCAAACCTCCTTTTTTAAAAAATGTGCTGACGTTCTATGTTATTTATTCACTAATATGATTAACAGATCCTTCTCAACTAATCTCATACTGAAAATATGGAGAAACATAATCCCTATACCTAAGAAACTATCTAGTGATAAGAATGTGAAATTTAGACCTATAGTAATAACTTCATCTTTCATCAAAACAATAGAAAAATTAATAATACTCCCACTCCAACCTGCAATAAAAGAGCACATTGATCCGTATAAGTTTGCTCACAAATGCAAAAGAAGCACCACAGATGCCGTTGCTGTTCTGCATCACAAGATAGTGTTCAGCTTGGAAAAGGGTAAGAAGTATGTTTGATGCGCTTTTCTGAACTATACTTCTGCTTTGATTCTATCCCAAGACAACTTTTACCTAACAAGTTAATCGGCGTCAACACTGACATCTGGATAAATAATTGGATATGTTCCTACCTCTCTGGAAGAGAACAGTACGCTGTGTTTGGGGGAAAGGGTTTAATGTCTCTGCTGTCTCATGAAGGCGTACCAAAACATGAACATAGGTTCTGCTTAAAGATTCGCCTTAATAGTTTGCATACACCAGATTTCATAGGGTTTTACGGAATATAACTGTATACATCTAATGTAGCCAAATATTCATTGATGTTATTCTTTTTTATCAAAAAAGCACAACTTTCATACAAATATTCCAAAGTTCAGAACATTCTGGACCGTTCCTTTTTATAGAACATTATTTAATTTCTATGAGCTCTTTGTTTTCCCAGTATAAGTACTAGATAGATAACGTCATAAATGATTTACTCTTAGAGAAGTAATATATTATTGTTATTATTACGCACTTTAAACGGGTGTAAAAGTGATTCATCAGAATTATAAGCTTTATGAGAAACCTTTAACACTATCTATTAATAACATTTTTCTGGTGGTTAGAAATGACTGAAAAATAATAAACGGATGAATTTATGGTTTAAGTTTTCTGTCTACTGTTACCACTAATTGTTCCTTATGGAAGATAACTCTTTGAATATACATGCTATGACTCAAAAATAAATCTATTGAAAATTTTCATTGTACTATCTCTTATTCTTAATAATTAGCGTATGACTGATATCATCCATAGATTATATTATCACAAATAATACCATTGAATTGGGCTACTATTTTTGCTTTTTTCATTTGAAAGTAAGAGAAAAGAAGTATCAATGCTTTTCACATATAGACATGTGTTTTATTTCTTTTGTTCCTGATATAAACATCAACATTGGGATGGAGGTACATTTAGTTGATGAGAATGAAACATAAGTCCTCGATTTCATTACCAGATATAATTCATCTATTTCATTAATAAATTCTGTTGGTTCCGAAGATTAGTTTGAGATAAAGTCCCGAAGTTCTAATGAGAAGTTCTGACTGATGGAGTTCAAACCTCTTATTTTTTTATTAACTTTCTGAACAAAAACTATTCTGCATTGAGTAGTACATTGTATGCTAACTGTACGATTAAAGTTATACTCTTCAGTTTAAGTGTGACCGTCGACACGAATAGGAGTCCTGGAAATAAAATGGTCAATAATGTTTTACTAGGAAAGAGTCATCCAATTTGTATATTTCTAATTGTGTATCTCATGTTATAATAGTAGCAATGAAATAAGGATTCATGCCCAATATCTCATACTAACATTCATGCTATGAAACGAAAAAGCTGAAAAAACCACAATGATTCTTCAACTGATGTCAGGTTCCAATGGATATCATATTCCAAATTAGGGTTTAAATTCACTTGATGTTGTTTTACTTGTATCTTCCCATTGTTATTTAGGACTGCAATTGATCAGTCTCATGATGGCATATGTGCATCCCGTGTGGATTGCCTCGATATAGCTTAAGTAACCAGCTTCTTAAGCAAAGATGGATAGTGGCTAGCAATGGAATCCAGGATGCGCGTTTCGTCCTGTTTGGGACTCGTTAGCTGGATGTACCTACATCGCAGAGTTGATGCCCACTCCGGGATTCGAACTTAGTACCGTTCGCTTCAAACGCCATTGCGTTATCCACTTAGCTACTGAGTCATTATAGCAAACTGTTTTACAATGGGGCGAAGTTTAAATTCACTTAGTGTTGTTTTACTTGTATCGTCCCATTGTTATTTAGGCATCCAGTTGACGACTCCCAAATAGGACGAAACGCGCGTCCTGGATTCCACTGCTAGCTACTATCTATCTTTGCTTCAAATTAAGGTTTTTTTTATAAAATTGAGATCAAGAAACGATTAGATTTCATGGTTCGTTTCTTAATGTTTTTTATTCATAACTTTTTAAAATAAAAAATAAAACGATATTTCTTATATAAATCACAAACGATAAATTTAAATGACAAGTGATATAAAAGGACAAACAGAAAAGATGGTGTATGTGTTTATTTGTTTAAAAAACTCAAATCAATATTCAACATTTCTTAATCCCTTTATTGTTAATGGTTCAATAATTAAACAGTAACTGGGACAATGATTAGTTCACTAAGTAAACTATAAATTTGTATGATAGAAAATACTAGAAAATAAAAATTGTTCGATCATTGAAAAGTCAATAATAACAACACTACTGCTCTTGCATCTGCTTTTGATGACGATGATAACTTCGTAAACAATGGAGAAAAATTAATGATGACAATGGTTATCAAAATTATGTAAATACAGTTTTTAAATTTATTGTAACCACTAACAAAATGAAGTGGTTATATAGAAACATTCGATATTATTTAGTAACATTATGTTTTTAAAAAAAATTGATTTCTTTGTTGTGTATTAGTTCTTCATTATTTTATAAATAATGGTAATAATAATTAAAGACATGTTGTTTCTACTAACATTCTGGTGACCATGTATGGATCACAATTGGATGATGGACGTCTATCTTCCAAATAACCACAACCATTTTCAGCAACTTGTCTTGGAATACGTATACTACTGCCTCTATTTGCAACACCTATATAAGACGAAATAGGAAAGAGTAGAAGAAAGATGTTTATAATTATGTGTTTATAATTATGTTACAGGAAACTCATAAGAAATGGAGTCGAAATAAAGTAGTGTATGAAAAACGACAGTGAGCCGTGGCCTTTAGGTCATGAACAACTGTTACTCCGAGATTATAACGAAATAGGACTAAAGTCATTTACGTCTCCCATTCCGTATATTAGGGGGGTTGCAAGTCTGCTTGGTAGGCCATAGCAACATTGAACTCAAATATTATGACAGCGTAGCCATTTAATTTAACTAGCACTGTCTCCGTTAGCGAAAACTAGGCCCAGGACAAAAGGAGAGTGTTGTATTTCATATTCAGTGGGTTCTATAGTGCACTGGACTAAAGTTAATGAGTATGTAGTTTCTAGCAATTTGTAATCAAACGGTTTGTTAATAATTCCGCCTTTAATTCAACCCAAGTCAGCTGCCAAAGGTTTCTGTACTTGATTGACTAGAAATACAGTTTATAAAATGAAAATCGTCTGCTGCGGATTGAGGGCCATGATACACAAAACTAGTTCGATATACGCTCCTCTACATTTTATTCGAGACTGCATTAATTCGCACGTGCCTAAATCGTATACCGCTGTCTCGGCAACTCGAATACTTAAGGCGTTCTTCAAACACAGGACAACACCATCTCCTCTATGGCTTATTCTGTTGGTTCTACAAAGTAAAAAACTAGACGACTGAATCTCACTATCATTTACTTTTGACGTTAGCCAAATATATGGAATGAAGATATCAAAATTTTGTGTTTCCATTGTTTGTGGCTCTGTTATTTCATTCAGCAGTCTGGAATGTTTGTTTAACAAACCGTTATTTCTGTGGAGTACTTTCCAGTACCACTTAGAGTGGTTTAAGGATCCGTTTGCTCCCGACTTTGTCGATTCAAAGACTCTTTAGTTTAAGGTTTTCACCATCACTTTGACGATATCCATTTATTCATATTCCTGCAGATCGTCTCTTATTGAGATAAGCCAGCCAGAAGTCGGAGTGGACCTAAAGATTAATAAACGCAGTTTGTGGGGGATTCTTTAATAGACTTTACTCCTCAGTGGATGCCAAATGAGTTTTAAAAATTCGTCTTGCCTGAAGACTTTCTGAATACAATTTCTATCTTATTCTGAGTAATTTGCGTATACTAACTCCCTTTATTGTATCCGGAATTAGCTTGAATGTTAGATATTTATTGTAGTTCAGGTTGCCTTTAAACTTACCTTTGGATCTTTTTCGGGATTGTTTCAGTTCATGCAAGATGACTGACTCCTTTGAGAAATATGATTTAGTACTGAGAACTGGGATTCCTTAGCTCAAACCCTTTTCTCCTTTGCAAACTGGTTTGATAACAGATGACTGGGTTTCATATTTTCTTCTCCTAGTTGCTTTTCCGGATGTTGCTTTTAACCATTCATTGACCTTACCATGTTTCTTTAAAGAGTCTCCTGCGTCCCATGGGCTATGCTAATGCATGGTTTTCACTGGATTGCTGTTGTATTACACCTTTTTTCTCTGGGCGTTTGATATTTTTCCTAAAAGCCTTCCGTAAATTGGTAGATTAATCGTTCTCTATGTTCTAGAAGTGTTTTACTATGGTTCTATCTGGATCTGAAGCTGGATTGATAGTGATGCTCAATATATTCTCCAGATCGATCAGTTATTCCGTATTTTCTGTAACTTACTATTCATCTGTGAGAAGTTCCCTAGCTAGATTCATTAGCTCTATTACTTCAAGTATCAACAGAAACGTTATAGGACAGTATATTTTGTACAATCATTATGGTTGTGATTTGCAACAATTCTTATACAAGTTCAGGGGAAATCTAGTGCAAACATGAGGATACTAATTGTTAAAGTTTTCACATTGCTTCCCATACTCGACAAAATAGAGGCGTCTTCGTCTACCACAACAACGTTTAGTCTGGACTGTTGTGTTAAGGAAGTGGACAAAGGCAGAAAAAAGTATTGGTAGAACCCGAAAAGAATAAGCACTGAATTTTAAAGAAAATCTATCGTGTGAGAAAACAATTACACAAGTGAACCATCTGGCCCATGAAGTGCAAATCAGTGCACTCACAAAATGGATTTAAGTAAAAACATAAAAACAGATATTAATATAAAAACTAATACTCATATAATTTAACTGACTTAAATTTTCAGTTAAATTAGAAGCAGAAGTTTTCACACGTATGAAACAATTCAAACTACATAATTTACACAGAAAGGAAAAATATTTTTGCCCTTTTAGAACAGGGTGAATATTCGAGGATAATATCACTAACCCTTATATGAAGAATTTTACACGAAGCCGGGTACACGAATGTGTACTTACTAACCGAATTGGATGATATAGCTATTTAATCTCAATCGAAGTATAAACAGGCTTAATCTATATGGTCTATCAACCAATAAGTTCGACAATACCCTAAACTGTGTATATTTTTGAGCGGCAAAGTCAATTGAGTGGAGTTTAAAATGATACTAACGTGATGCTGATAATCATCATCAGAATACTGAAGAAAATGATAGAACTTCATGACTGGATGTGTAAATTAAACATAATATGTGTAAGACAATCGAATATGTTATTTATCTACCCACATGAAACAAACTTCTTGTCACTATTTCGATTTTTTCAATAGAGTTAATGAGTGAAAATTGAATCAAATAATTTTTTAAAAAAAACGATCGACAATTCGTCTCACAGCTGGAACAATGAACGGTTAATCCTATCCAGAATGTGATCAGGCTTTATTATGATTGGTTATTTAGGGATTTGTAGAAATCAATAAAGCATAGTAAAGTAGTTAGTTAAAAGTTACCATAGAACTACTGATTGCCAATTATTTATAAGATGTTTTTCTCAAGTCAATAATTATTCTAGGTCTATAACATAACTCCAGTCATTAGTGAATCTATAAAACTGAAGGTTGATTTTACAACCGCATTTAAGTTTAATTCACTTGATATTGTTTTACTTGAATCTTCCCATTGATGTTTTAGGACTGAAATTGACGAGTCCCAAACAGGACGAAACGCGCGTCCTGGATTCCACTGCTAGCCACTATCCATCTTTGCTTATAACGCATTTAAGTTTGTTTATAAAATTCTCAATGTTAAGGAGAGATCAACATTTGTTTCATTTCTATCAATAATTCTGAAACTAAACACAGATTACCGTTTATGATATTTTTTCATTATAACTAGTCTTAGTCCCATTTAAACATTAAAAACACAAAGTTCAGCAAAGGGATCTCTTTTCAACGAATTTATTATCAAGGCGTACAATCGTATACATATGAAAGTTTTTTTATTAAAGTACTAGTTCCAGAAAGAGAAATCTCATTCACTCTTCATGTCATCGAATACATCGGATATGTAGTATGGAATGAAGAACTCGCATTCCTATCGTCCTATCGTTATCGTTACCTTGGCCCTTTACTTATGTCTCATATTCTCATTATTTTATTCATAAATGATCATCATATCACTTTATTTGTTTTTTACACATCTATGACCTTTAATGACCTTTGATTATTGTAACAAAAACATTCTAATCATCTTAATACATTCACGTTACAATTCGTTACTAACTTATTAAGCCTATCGTTATTATTCGTATTACGTAATCTAGTATTATCATCTTTCTATTACGTCATCTTGGTTATTCGTGTTCACAATTCCTCACGGAACTAGTACTTTAACAAAAAAGTTATAATCATATATATATGATTGTACAGCTTGATAATAAATTCGTTGAAAAGAGGTCCCTTCGCTGAACTTTGTGCTTTTAACAGATTTCGTCTGTATATTGTAAACTTTAAATACTATGTACATGGTGATATCATCTGTTGCTTGAAAAAGTTGTAGAACATTAAGAACAAAATCTCTTTGGAGATACTAACTTACCAGATGAAAAATCATTAATACTGCTTGTTTCATGACTACCAGTCAAACGTCTTTGATTGTCTAAACCATGTTTAGGATCATAGCATTGAATGTGTTCCATGTGTTTATGTGATAGTTTTTCAATAGCATCTTCGATTGCTCTAAATAAAACAATAATAGTAATAATACCAGTGTGATTTTCTTATAATAACTTATTCATTTCTATTCATTGTAAATTTTAATGTTTATAGTAATGAAACGTGAGATTTTTAGACATTCTGATACTTTTTTGTGAAAACTTGTAGTGTGCTGTGAAAAACATTATCTTTGTTATAGGTATCATTACGAAGGTTTGACTTGATAATTTCGAATGAACTGAGCATTCGGTAGATTGTTATGAATAAATTAATATAATTGTAATGTCTTAATGAGTAGAAAAATTAAATTTTTTGACGTTTCGTGACTTGGATTAATTGTGATTTAACTATTTATTCTCTGAAGAAGTGGCTTACACTGAGTCACGAAACGTCAGGAAATCCATTTTTTACACATTGGGATATTATAAATATATTTATTTATTTATTATCTATGTTACTAGTAAGTCTACTTATTTCAGGGATCTAGAATCAATAATGCTAGATGAAACAAACAGGATATGTATTTCTTGTTTGCCGAAGATAACTCTCTCATTTTAAATGTAATCAAACCAATATACTGCTTTTTTCAAATTCTATATTTCTGAAGGTAGTCAATGAGTGAACCGTTTTGTGTGTAATTTATTCACTGTGTGAAGCTTTTTTTGGTTAGACCAAAAAAGCATTTTGATAGACGGTTTGTATTTAGTGATAACTAATTTTACCTGTCAAAAACTAGAGAGTACTGAAGTGATAATATTTTCATCTAAGTCCTACTTCCGACGTCGTATATCATCAATTTCATAAGATTATTGAGGTGATTAGTGACTTGTTAACAGATGGATTTAATAAAATTTGTTTAGAAACATTATGAGTTGGGACTAACTAATAGAATAAGACATCAAGCAAATTACGTTATTAATTGACTGAAGTTGAAAACTAAGCATTCACCGACTAAATGGTACGGTAGACCACATGTTATGATGTTTTAGCTAAGGACCTGTACAAAATGAAGGAAATGAAAATTGGAATGAAATATTTAGTTACACTCCTCAGAATTTTGCTAGTACTAGTAAATTTCGATTAATGATCGAAATGTTTGTTTAGACGACACTTTATTGGATGATACACTATTTTAATTGAATATTTTAAGAACATTCCTAATGCATACACTTCAATCACATTGATTACTAAACTAATGATCCCTATTTGACTCAAGTTGTACTTTTATAAAATATCCATCGTTGGTCTTTTGAAATAGGTCAGGTCACGTGATAGAAAGAAACGACCTTCACCTTCCAAAAGCATATAATTAGTTCCTTTGTTTAAATAATAACCATAACTGGAAATATATTTTATTAGCTTCATGATTTACATTTGGCAAAATTAAGCTGATAAGTGCTTTAAATCAGTTAGACACTTTGGTGAATTAGGGTGGTGTGATGAGACGACTAAGATGGTCAGAAATACGTAATATATTGTTGACTCAATATATTCTCTTGTTAAGACACTTATATATGAACCACATGTAAACTATTCTGGTAATAATGGCTTATTATTTAAGGCGGTATGATTCGTAATGTGTTTCAGTAGTATCTTTGTTTTCGTTATCTTCCCATTTATCTAGTTCGACAAGAATTTTCTAGTTTTGGTGTGAAAATCAACACGTAAGTGGAGATAGATCCAGGTGACGAGTCCAACATAAGATGGAACGTACGTCCTAGCTTCCGCTTTTAGCAAATATCTAGCTCCGTTTAAATAATGTCTATTTAGCAAGGTTAAGGTCGTTACTTTAGGTCACAAGACCCTCCCTATTTTACCAGACAAATGATAAATACTATGGAAAAGCACAGCCCCAGTCATTACACATTTAAATAATGTTAGTATTTTAGTTTTAATTCATATATTGGTTGTTCGGATCCTCCCGTTAATGTTTACGACTGCAATTGATCAATCTCTTTTAGAATATGTGCATCCTGTGCGGATTACCTCAATATTGCAGGTACATTCAACTCACGAGTCCTACATAGGGCGAAACGCGCGTCATGGATTCAGTTGTTAGCCACCGTCCATCTCTGCTTGAGATAACAGTTTTATATGAAATGATCGTATTTCTAAATTGTTGACTTTTAATTCCATTGTTGGAATTCATGTCATCAAAAAACTGGATATTGTTTAACTTGTTATACATGAAACAGTTGTTAATAACATTTTTTCTTTAAAACATGTGACGTTAAACGAAATCCATTGTGATGCCAATTCATTTATTGGTCATATTGTAAACTCATTTACCAGTGTCACTAACGTCTAGAAAAAATAAAATTGGCTGTTATCCAATATCTGACCAGTAATTATGATTTCTTCATCACATGATAATCACATGTTTTGCTGATGAAGTGATGTGTGAACAATATGCGAGATATTTAAATTATTAAATGGCGATCTCAACCAGTCATGCCAACGATGAAATAGAGAAGCATTACATACAGGCCCATGTTGAGTTATTTAAATAATTTAGTCATTAAAATGTTTTCTCCTTTAAAGAAAATATACTTTCGAATTAGCGAATTGATAAATAACAGTATTCGTTATTTCACTAATTTAGTATACCATATTAGTAAAAAGTAGCAACATGGAGTTATTTCATGAAGTACTAAATTGGAAGAAAGCAATATTTAAGGTTGTAGACTGATAAAATAATTATTTTTCTACTTTGGATCTTAAAACAAACTTCTTCATGGTAGTGATTTCATGAAATAGTTTGTCATGCTATCAAACTACTCAACGGCAATCCGTCTACCATTGTTTACTGTATTTTTATGTAGACAATGTTGAAAGTGTCACTCAATTTCGTGGATTAGTTGTAGTTAGATATTAACAACATTGGATACTGGCCAGCTCAGAGCTCTAGAGATTAAGTGTTCGCGCGCGAGACCGACAGATCCTGGGCTCGAATCTCGCGAGGCAGGATCATGGTTTCACTCTGCTGGAGATTCCCACAACAGGGCGAAATCGCCGGCCAGTGCTTCCAGGTTTTCCATGATGGTCTAGCTTCAAATGACTCATGGACTCAACTATTGGAATTACAAATTTAATATTAATCAGAATATAATTTTCATTTAGATGAGTAAACATTTTGTGAAAATTGTAATCTTTTAGAAGTTTGTTTATTATTAGTCTTATGACAAAACATTTATTCATCTTATCAAAAGTTAATGAAATGGTATATTCAGTTAGAATAATTCACTGGATATACGTCAATAACAAAATAAAAAGCTTTCAGTTAGTTGAATTAAGAAGACGATTTAATTATCTTGATAGTGTACTTTTAGATGTGACTACTAAGTTCATTTATCATATTCCTTAATAATGAGTACAAGGTAAATAAATTTCATTTACTGATAGAAGTAAAAATTAATTTCCTTAAAATATCATACCTTGTTAACTAGTTTCATCTGAAAAAAATACATTCAAGTACAGACTTAAAAATAAATATTTTTCTTACTGTAAACCTGATTTTGGATCCCTCATAGCCTGAGTTGAATAGTTTGTATGCGCTCCTGAACCATTCCAGTTACCAGGCATTGGTTTCGGGTCTAGTGACACAATCACTCCAAAGTCTTCAGCTACACGATGTAATATAAATCTAGCCATCCATAAATGATCACCAGCTGAGACACCTTCACATGGTCCAACTTGAAATTCCCACTATGAAAGTTAAACACATGGGATATAAAGTTCACCGTAAAACTTGTTTGGTTTTCCAACTATGGATAATTACTTAGAAGTCATGATAAAAATAGAAGTAATAGTGAGGTATCAATTTAAATAGCTTGTTCGTCAAAACTGACTTATCATTTTAGTATCACAAATCACCAGTGGGTGATAGCTATCATAGCTCGGTGGTTTAATGAACAAGGATTTAGCATTTAAAGTGGTGTGTTTGTAGTGAACGAAATCGAACAGCAACATCCTTTGAGAGGCAGTCACACAGAATTATTACTTTACAAACACGAAGAAATCTTTTTCCATGTTTCAATTAGTAGACACTGATTAAAGGACTGTCAGTGGCAAACTTTGAAAATGTGGTAAAAATTAACTGCATTGATAACTTTAGTGTAGAATGTAATAACACGAACAGCTACTTATTGTAATTTATTGTAATGAAAACTCATATTTAAGGTCATTTTATACTGGCACATTAAAAATAGCCATTAGATTTTAATGACTCTTAAAGTCTGGATTTGTATAAAACACTTGATACCACTCTTCTGTAATCTACTAAATCAGTGTTAAATACTGTTTTATGGAACTTCCCCATTGATGATGAAACTGAAGGTAAGTTATAACGAATCACGGAATTATGGAGTACTTAGTGACTATTTTATCATGGTTTGCAATTCGGTAACCGTGCACACTCACGATAACACATGCATACATGTATACAATATATACAATGAAATGTACAATTGAATTTAAAATATCGAAGTCTTTTATTGAATATATAACATGTTTAATTTTAACTCATTTACAACTTAATCTTATCTTCATCATTAGGTTACACTTAGTTGACTTTTTAAATCACGTAGTTATATAGCTCGAACTTTAAAAAATCCATTTTAAAGTTAGTCATTATTGGGTATACAATTACGATTTATCAATGTGTCACGTTAAGATAACTGCCATTTGAAAATAATTTTTATAATGAACTGATGTTATCTATTCACTTCTTATTGAGTTTTAGTAGTTTTTCAGCTGTTAACCCATGATGAAATGTATTTTTGTAAACTTCTTAACCAAATAATATAATTTGCTGTTTATCATTTAAACCAGTTTTATTCATTGGGAAATACAATTAATTACGATCGTATAATGTATCGTATCATGTTTTGAACTAAAAAATTTAAACATTACCTGAGTATTTATTATCCATCTTAACACTAATTTATAGCTGATCAATGACTTCTTATAGGGTGAATTTATTGAAGTTATAGGACATTGTATGATGTCGATCTAATCAAGAATCAAGATATCTAACTCCTGATAATATCGGATAACGGCAGGTCTACATGAGAAATCTTAAACTAAATGAAGTGGCTTATAACTAGTGTCTGTCTATAAATGAAAAAAAATCATTTAACTGAATACATCTTTTGTTCAAATAATAATGATAACATTTATTAAATAAATTCTTACTTGTGATGGCATAACTTCTGCATTGCTACCACAAATTTTAACTCCTGCATACATGCATGCTCTGTATAAAGCTTCTGGTATATCACGACCAAGTGCTTTACCAGCTCCAACAGAACAATAATAAGGTCCTAAGAAATTTGGGAGGGATAATTCATACAATGTGAAAGAAATTTGTAAACTAGCGTACATGGTTAAACATTTATTGAGAGCTCATTCATCTTATATTCAGTTGAGTGCAAGCAACTAGTGGGTCACATTTAACTCTTAGGATTTAATGAGCAACAGAGAGAAAAATACTTCAATTAGGTCACAACTGTCATTAGTTTTTAGAAAAATAAATATATCTGAAACAAACCAAGAGACAGTTTGAATTTCCCCACAATGTTGAGATATTTTTATCTAATTGAGCACAAAACTGACTTTATGGATTTCACTATTCTACCTCAAACATAAATGATGTAATAGAATGTTAACAAACGGATCAACTTACTAGTTTTAACATTTTTTTATCAAAGAAAAATTGTCATAGAGATATTTTTTTAACTGATAGCTCGGAATTATCATATAATCATACCTCTGAAAGTTTAGCTTAACTAAGATTATTATAAAGCTATTGACAGTTTTACAAGAAAATAAGTAAGAAACTGAAAGTTTCCTAAATTTTACGTATGTAAATCACGACACTTCAAATCCAACAACATATGTATTAATAACTGAAATACTAACAAAAACGTAAGCAACTGATCAGCTTTTATTAACATTGGTAATATAAACAAACATTTAAAAAGTAGATAAGAACAAACTGATATGTCAAAATTAGTACTAAACTACTGGAATTTATCGACTTCATTATCTGCAAATAATATTGAATGTTTCAATCAGGAGTCATATATTTTGAGGGACTGTTTATGAGTAATAAATTCAATGAATTAGTTAATTTATTTAATGAAAGATATTTTGTGAAGTATGTTTTATTATTAGTATTATTATTATTGTCATTATTATTATTATTATTAGATATCCATCTATAAATCAACCTTCTGAAGATTTAACTGTCAATAGAGATATAATCTGTCAGCCAACACCAAAGTCAGAATGTTCAATACAAATGTCAAAACAGTCCTACTGTATGGGGTGGAAACCTGGAGAACTACGAAAGCCATCATCCAGAAGATACAAGTGTTTATTAACAGCTGTCTACGCAAAATACTTCGGATCCGTTGGTCAGATACCATCAACAACAACCAGATCCCAGCGGAGGAAGAAATCAAGAAGAAGGGCTGGAAGTGGATAACACACACATTGAGGAAAGCATTGAACTGCGTCATAATGCAAGCCTTCACCTGGAACCCTCAAGGCCAAAGGAAAAGGGGAAGACCAAAGAAAATATTACACCGAGAAATGAAGACAGACATGATAAGAATGAACAACAATTGGATAGAACAAGAAAGGAAGGCCCAGGACAGAGTGGATTGGAGAATGCTGGTCGGCGGCCTATGCTCCATTGGGAGTAACAGGAGTAAGTAAGCAAGTAAGAGATATTACCATTTATAAGTCAAGTTGAATGGATATACTTTATCGAGAAACAGTATAGTTATGTTTACAAACGTTCTCCCAAGCGACATAAACTCAATAAATAAACTTGAATAATTTACAAAGAATGATTACAATAAGACGGAAATAACTGAGGGAAGAACGTTTTATTAATCTAACTAAATCAAGTAATTAGCACTGAAGCACAGCTCTGTTATGATTCTTTAAAGTGAGCATGAAAACAACCGATGAAGTAATATTTAACTCAATAAGGTTACTATTTATGTCGATCAAGAATTGAAATTTCAAAAATACAATTCGGCAAATTTTATGCCTAAAATTATGCGTTATATACATTGTTGAAAAGATATTCATGAATGATGAATTCGTATAAAAGACTACATATGATCAATATTCATGTTTACTTTCGTTTCTTCTCCGTTAATTTTAATTTTATACTCTATTTAAGAACATAGTTATTTCAAGTAATTAAGTAGTAAACACTTCAATTATTTTCTATTGATTATTTTTTTTATCATTATCTCGAATTTTTTACAACCCTCAGGATCGATGTTGAAATGAAGTAATTAATTTGTGAAATAATAGTTTCTCAGGTATTTCAATGAGTTATCACTCAGTTGCTTTCTCTATTGAATTAAGATCCATTTGAATAATACTGTTAGTTGTAGCTTGCTGCTGTAAGCCTCGACATTTGGTTTCGTTTATTAATTTGTATATTAAGCTGGTTTATTCAAATATTTTGATTCACAATATCAGTACATTATTATCTATCCAGTTAGCCCTAACCATTTTTCAACTGATGATGCTCAAACGAAATTTAATCATCTAACATCTTACAACAATGTTACTGTACAGCTTTAGGTCGGAGTTGCAATATGAAAAGACTATTTTAATTGGGGCATAGTGATGAAGTTAACGGTCACACAGACAGAATGACTTACACTATAAGAGTATAAACTCACATAGTATGGAATGTCTAAGACAATTTACCAGGTTCAACTATTTTAATGCAATTGTAAACAGATTAAATTATGAAATAATTTTGACAAAAAGTGGAAACTTATAAGTCAACTTACCTTGAGGTGGAGGAAAACCATTTTTAGGCCATTGTAATGGATAACCATCGATGTCTAATAGAGCATATTCTTGTTCGATACCGAACCATGGTTGGTGAGATTTTGCTTTCTCCATGACAAGATTACAAAGATAACGATGATTTGAAACTAAAAAAAAGTGGAATGTAAAACAAAGGGAAAGACACAAAGAAAAGGTGAACGTACATCAGTTGCATGAGTTTTCTTTAGCCAGTAGCAAATAATTTTCAAGATTTTTTCCTTCAAGAAATGAAACTAAGTTCACTATCTTGCTAGACATAAAGAAATAAAAATTTTTCCTTATAAAAGTTGAAATCATCAAATTAACAATTCGGATCACTGAAATGGTCAATCTTTGAACTAAGTAGTATACACTTAAGCTGACTATGATCGAATTCGCAGTCATACAGATTATGGTAATCTAATCAGAATAGTAGTACAGTTTTTCATCACAAATTTTTACTAACTACCTACCTAAATAGTATTAGTATGATAGCAATAACAGTAGTGACTAGTTTCTTAATTAATGCAAGCAAGTTAAAAAATGAAACAGTAGCCTGCTAATGTCATTGGATGACAATTGAACTAAATCATCAATTTTTCCGAAGTTGTGAATGTAAATCATTCGATTCTAATTCACAGAGGCTAGATTTTATTTTCTTGTAGTGTTTGTTTTGAGTTCGATTGTGTTGAATATCGTGTGTGTGTGTATCATTTGAAAAATTGCCCTCATAGATATAGTACTAAAAGAATAAAGTGAATGATGAACTGAGAAGCATTATTTCTCTGTTCTATTTACCTATTCTGAAAATGGTAAACTAGGTTAAAATAACTTCCTTCCTTTCAGATAATTTATCATCAGGCTTTCCAGATATAAATTCGAATATGATAGTCATTAATGAATCAAATATATATTTCAAAAATTATAGACTATGAATTTAAGATCGTTTGTTAAATAAACAAAATTGCTCATGCAGAAAAGACTAGTATGTACTGTTAACTTGAATAAATTAAGACTTACTTGCGCCTGTCACCTCTCATGGAGGAGCATAGGCTGCCCACCAGCACTCTCCATCCAACCCTCTCCTGAGCAATCATTTCCAGTTGCTATTTATCATTTTCATGTCTGCCTCCAATTCCCGACGCCATGTGTTCTTCGGCCTTCCTCTTTTCCGTTTCCCTCCAGAATTCCAAGTTAGCGATTGCCTCGTGATTCAGTTTGGTGATTTCCGTAATGTATGACCTATCCACTTTCATCGTCTTTTCCTAATTTCCTCTTCAGATGGAAGCCGGTTTGTTTTCTCCCATAGTAGACTGTTGCTGATGTTATCCGGTCAACGGACATTCAGTATCTTTCGTAGACAACTGTTTTTAAGTATTTGTACTTTTTTGATGATGGTTGTAGTCGTTCTCCGAATTTCATCCCTGTACAGTAGAACTGTCCTGACGTTCGTATTGTAGATTCTCACTTTGATATTGGTTGACAGTTGTTTTGAGTTCCATATGTTCTTCAACTGTAGGAATACGGCCCCTGCTTTACCAATCCTTGCATTTACGTCTGCATCCGATCCTCCTTGTTCATCTATGATGCTTCCCAGATACGTGAATTTTTCCACGTGTTCCAGAGTTGCCATCAAGTTTGATTGGGTTGGTGTTCTCCGTGTTGTATTTAAGGATCTTGCTTTTCCATTGTGTATGTTGAAGATCACTGCTGCATAAGCTTCTGCTACACTGTCTGTCTTCTCCTGATTTTGTTTTTGTGTATGGGATAGAAGAACTGGGTGATCTGCGAAGTCTAAATCGTCTAGCTGCGTCCAAGCTGTTTATTGTATTCCGTGCTTTCTATCAGATGTGAAGGGCTTCATAATCTAGTCAACCACCAGAAGAAAGAGGAAGTGCGAGAGTAGACAGTTTTGTCTGACACCGGTCACTATTTGGAGTGCATCTTTCAGCTGTCTTCTGTGCACCACTTTGCACTGTAGTCCGTTGTATGAATTCCGGATGATGTTGACGATCTTCTCAGGCACACAAAGGTGTCGAACAAGTTTCCATAAGGTCCTCCTATCCACACTGTCAAACGTCTTCTCATAGTCAATGAATATATTATTGGAAAGAATATTTTTCATTCACTTTATATCTTTGTTTTAACAAAATCGGAACTTTAAGACAAATAAACAAGTTTGATCAGAATTTCTACTCTCAATGTGAACCGCTAAGAAAGACGACAGCTTATTAGCCTAGATTAATCCTTTATAGGATACAGAATTATTCCGCCATTCATATAGGTAGATATCGAATGTTAAGATATAGAAATGTGGTCTAAATCTATCAAACCAGTCATTTGTTGGTTTGATTTTCATCAAAAAGTATAGTCTTTTTCTTCCTTAAATTAAAAGTCAGTAACTGACATCTTTAAATGACAAAATTCACAATCACGATGATGGATATACATTCAATTTGTTTTATACCTTTCTTTAACTTCTAGACACTTTATTATCTAATATCAGTTTCCTTTTTGTTTGTCCATGCTTTCCCTACTCCTTTTTACCTCCCTCTTCTTCATTTGAAAGTTGTTTTATCTAAAAACCTACATTATTGTACTATTCGACTTCTCCTACTTTCCGTCTGTCTATATATCTATCTATATAGTAAAATATAATTACATTCGATACTATTGATGGGAACATATGTAATAAAGTGTTAATGTACTTTAAAATGAGATTAATGGGATTTAGAAAAAGTTTATTATGACAGACTTCTAGTTGCTGAATTTCAAGGCCTAATGTTTTTAAACATTCCAACCGTTATTCTTACATAAGTATGTTCTTTTGAAAATATGTTTACCCATAGATCAGCTGGAAAAACATGGAAAAACAGGGAGTACGAAACAATTATCTATGCCTGCTTATAATAGATGGATTGTAGTTAAAAGTGGAATATAGGACTCGTCAGCTGAATGCATCTACGTCTCAGTGTTAATGTTTGTATTGAGACTGAAACCTTGTACCTTATGCCCACGAATTTCAACAACGAAATAACTCGATCCTTCACTAATAACGTCTATTCCTGGTTTGAGACAGTCAGGATCTCAATATCTTGCGAGGAAAGGATATTCCATGTAGACGATCGAAATCCATTTTAAAACAACTCAGTCTCTTAATTTGGGAGAAATTCTCATCAGTACTAGGTAAATTTTCGGGAAGATGCAATAGAAAATTTTGGGATTCTCTCCAAAGTCATATGAAAATTCATAGTTTTCCACAAAGTCCGGAGAACTATTGGGGAAGATCTAAAAGTTCTCAGAAAATCCGGAGATCGGGTAATCACATATATAGGTTATTTAGTATAAAACTGATAAATTAATAACATTAATAATATAACTTGATTCCCAACAGTAATCCACATTTTTTATGATCATGAATCTCATTCATTACTAGAAAATTGAGCTTTTAGTTTAACCTAGAAACAAAGGCAATCGATTCATTCCTCATGATTTATTAATTGCAAACTTAGTAGCATTCTGGTTATTAATCCATATACCCAAGTACCTTGACTTTACCTCTTGTCATCTGATACCGAAGTGAATTCGTCGTATAATTTGTAAATACAGTGCTGAACAGTAAAGGTTTAAATCTTTGAGTTCAAACATTTTCAACATTTTCTCTCATATACACTTGCAACTAACATATTTATCATTGTACTATTATTATTTTTCATTAGAGTACTGGCTTCTTAATTGAAGAACTGGTCTTTTAAATTCTACTTAATTTGGTCTGGATAAGTGGCTAGTAACAATAGCTCACATACAAAGTGACTTAATCCTGAATACATAAATATACACATGGCAAATAATTTATATTAAATTAATTACTGTCATTACTAATATTGGTATACACTGTATAATCTATTGGGAGATTTGTACATCATCTCACATTATAACGTATTACAGTAATAAAAAGATAAGTAAAAATATTCGTAGTACAACAATAAGAATCTGTCAAGCAAAATTCTTACCATGTGGTTTCTTATCGTAATTATAAGTTTCACATAAGACTAATTTATTTTTGCCACCACGAAATGGATCACGGAACATCGCACACGGTTTTAAATAAACATCAGAATTAGAACCTTCAGCTTGACCCGTACTACTTCCATCAAAATTCCACATTGGACAGTCTGTTTTTTTAATTAAAAATAAATATATAGAATAAGAGATAAAGACAAACAAACAATGAATTCATTTGAATTGATTTCTCCACACAAGTATTACACTGGCAAAACGAATAAAATTTGATCTTAAAGAATTTTAAAACAATGTAATTAGACGGTTGAAAACTGAGTTCATTCACAAGTTCACTCATTAATTCTGTTTAGTTTATAAAAAAACAGCTAAATTAAAAACGTATATTTAAGTTACAAAATACGTTATAGATAATAAGTTAGTCATCAAAACTTAGTGACGATTAATATAATTAAAATAAACCATAATGCCATTGAATAAGAAAAAGAGAATCCAGCGAAGAAAATTTTCTTTTCAAGGAAATCATTTACTTAGTCTACAGAGTCAAAGGAAATAGATCGAACGGGAGGTCGAATCAATATTTTATGCACTGCTTAGCCATTGGCAATCCATGAACTCAGGCCTGAACGTTATGTGCTGAAACGATTTGTCCAACCTCTCATCTCTCCTTGGCCCTAATTCCTTTACTGCGTATGTTTCTGGGTTGATTTTTTCTCTGCACTTTTATTTGATTATTATTGAATCCTCTAAACTACTGTTTTGCATTTTAATCTCTAATCCGTTATTATTATTATTACTACATTATACAAGTTTAGTTGATTATTATTCAGTCTATTATTATGACCTTTGTGTTTGTCGTTTTTTTATATATATGTCAAATGGACTATTATCTAACCCATAAATTATTTCCCTCCTTACCCTTTGATTAGTACGTAACCTCATTTGTTATTTATTCTCGAATTCATTTTTGTGAGGCAATCTTTTCTATCGTCCTATAGACATATATCTTCCATATAACTATATATATATATATTTATTATATATATATATTATATATAATTATATGAATGTACAGCTTAAGTAAATGATTTCGTCGAAAAGGCAATTTTCTTCGCTGAATTCCGTTTTTCTCATTCGATGATTAACAGTTGAATGAAATTTCTAATATCTACATTACCTAGTTAAATTAGTATATTGTTTTCATGAATATATCGGTCCATGTCAAATTATTTGTTTAGGAAGATTCAATCATAAGGTTAATTCATTTTATAATTCTAAAATGTTTTGTAATAATACACCATACACTATAGTTACACATATAATAAGGAATTTAAGTAATTAGGAAAAAAAATTCAAGACATCAAGTCATACCATTACATCAGGTGATCTACAATCAGTAAAGTGTCACATTTACTATTTTATAAGTAATTTGAGTAAATGTTATTAAATTTCAGACAATTTTCACAAGAATAATTTGGAATTTTATGCCTTAAAGTCAATCCAAGGAAACGTTGTAAACTCTATCATCATTTCTATTCGGTAATGCATGTAAACATATGGGTATAATATTTCGGTTTTACATTTTCTACAGTAACATCACATTACACTTTAGAAAAGAGGTCAGGATTCATTTGGATTAATTGAAGTTGTTCCAACTCTGAATGAAAGAATAGAAGAAAAAAGCCTAATCATTCAACGTCAGTAGTAATAATAATGGTAATGTAACCAAGTGTAGTTTCGTATGCCTAACTTTGAGCTACAGTACATGCAAGATAACTGGTTATACTACTCGGTTCATTAGACCTAAGTACCTTCAATTACATATTTTGGGCAATGGCATAAATGTTCAGGGAAGAATAACAATAATACAATGGTTGAAGATATATTTTACAAAATTATGTTATCATTCTAACGAATACAAGTTAATGCATCGATCAGTTTTCTTTAACCTATCATGGTTCAACTATTTTGAATTACGATTATTAGAATTGTTTTATGGTTCAGAGAGGTAAATGAAACTTCCGACGGAAATAATGTTATAGATATGATGGAAGATTAAGAATAAATGAAACTAGACCACTAAAACCAGTTCTCAAATTGTATTAATTACCTTTTCCAACTCTATGATATTATAAGCACTATAGCTTTTGACCAAAAACTACCGAACCTTTCCTTGAAAGCTAAAATTTCTAATTTCATATTTATATTGACTTTATTGACAACAAACTGTTTTAGTAGATAAACAGTCAATTGATAGTAAGAGATATTACATAACATCAACTTATTATATATGCAACTAACTAAACACGTCAATTTGTACGTTCAATTTATTAGTTAACTCAGTTTTATCAGAATTAATTATTTTCCCAATGAGTGAATATTTGTAAATTTAAGAAGTATTGTAGTGAACAGAACACGGGTGGAGACAATCGAATGTATTTAACACAAAATTACAGGACTTGTTAATAAAATCTAACAATCATAAAGTAAATGCTTAATTTCAAAATGTCCACCGATTGTCTCATAATGACTCAGACTTCATTGTTCTTGCATTTTCATACAAATTCCATTCTGTTTCCATTCTTTACTGTTCGATCCTCTTATCTCTCTGCTGCCAGACCTTCTGTTCACGACTAACACCATTTACTACTTATGTCAATATAAGTAGCACACATCACAGTATACTGGTTTATACTACGCGATATAATAGTTCACATTTGGCATATTTAACAAAATGAAGAATAAGCGAACATTATAAGATTGACTTTTAATAGTTATATGTACTTTTCAGTATGTCTATTATAGATCATTCTTCTAAACTTGTTAAAAAAAATCTTTTAAAGAATCCAACGCCGGCTCAGTGGTCCAGAGGTTAAGTGTTCTTACGACAGACCAAAGGCCCAGGGTTCGAGTTTCGTGTGTGAGATCTTTGATGCATACTTCCGAGGTGTCTGTCAAATATGTACTATTTGTTTATAAAAGACTTAAAAATGTTTAATGTATTAGCCTAGTTGTAACGGTTAATATGTTATTTCTTACCTAGTGTACTGTTAAATATATAACTATAAATCAGACATGGAAAAGAAAAACTGTCATTGTGGTCTTAAGTTAAAACACATTGTATTTGTTTATAATCCATATTGAAATAAACCTAAACTGATGACAAATGTTTTTTAGCAATTTATATGGATTAGAGAGAAAGAAAATTGTTTTTATTTATAACAATGAAGTTACAAAAGTGTTATTTATGACCTATAGTTTCATTTTAAAACGAAGTTTAATGAAGTTAATAAATAGCCAATTAAATGATTTACTTCAATAAAGTTTTCTTTTCAAAGATTTATTCACAAAAAAAAGAATAGGAATCTTTGAAAATAAACTGTCAACGTACCTTCTGGAACTTTTGGTTCTTCTTGTAAAGTCATTGTTTTGCAGCGTAAATTTTCTCCACTTCCGTCTATCCATACGTACATAACTTGAATTTTGTCATCAGGTTGAGGCAAATCATAATACTTAGCAAGTAGTGTTTTACTGTCGTAAGGTGAACGTGATGTTAACGGCATTATTAAACGGTATTAATTCTTAGTATTTAGTTGATTAGAATAACAAACCAGGCCAATTTATATAGCTTTATATAGAAAAAAAACATGGACGGAAACTACGCAGTATATGATTGGTCGTAAATTGAGATTCAATTGATTCGGAAATTTCAAGGTCACATCGATAACTGGTTGAATTCAGGGTCGTTATTCAGTCATACATTTCATCACTGAAACAGGAAAGCGATAGGCATGACTGCTTGCCTATTTATATGAACTTAAATGACATTACCTACAAAATAATTAAAACCATACGAATAATAAGATAAACAAATTTAAATCTTGAATATTTTAGATCGACCCATTATCACATCTTGAATGCTATTTAACTCTTAAAAGTTAGTGATTTTCACAAGATCATGGGTCGATTGAAGTTAGACACTAGCACCGTTGTATGCCGGCTCAGTGGTCCAGAGGTTAAGTGTTCTTACGACAGACCAAAGGCCCAGGGTTCGAATTTCGTGTGTGAGATCTTTGATGCATACTTCCGAGGTGTCCCATACTAGGATAAAACATCCGTCCAGTGCTTCCATGTATTCAGTGGTGACCCAACTCAGATCGACTCATGAATTCAACTATTAAAATTTTCGGCATAAATCAATCATCTAATGTAGGTTCTTTCACTTTCTAAAATGGGAATATATCGGTCAGTATGAACCAATAGCATAAACCTCAGTCTTCGAACTATATTCACAGTCAGTGCGATCTTCGCCAAACTTTTCTGCCAAATACCCATCAAAATATATGGTGATCAAGGTGCATATTCGTATTAATTTGATATGAATGCAAGTAAAAATAATAGAGAATAGAGTCAATTATAAAAATTACTCTTAAGCCTTCAGGTCCAGGGACAAATTTTCCACAATCGACAAATCCAGTATAAATTGATAGAATAACCGAAAATAGAATTCATTTAATGATTTCTACAGAGGAATAAACCACCGTAATCATAAAAGTTAAATGCTTTGATATTCTTATGACATGAGCATTTTTATCTTGTCTGATACTACTTTAGCATAGACTACGAAGTCACCTATTGATCTTAATGTCATATGCTACTCCCATAAGTAAAACTTCTACTTATTCCACGCAGCTCGTTAAATTTAGATGCGTAATAAATACTTAAGATCCTATTCAATTTAACGCCTCTTAAGCTCTGTTAATTGTCGTCCTTTGGTTTTATTATTAAAGGTAAGTGTAACTGTCGAATCAAGAGCCTACTTTCTCCTACTTGCTACCCCCAGATTTTCGTGTTAACTGAGTAGACTGTCATCACCAAATCTACACTATTTAAAATCAACTGAAAAATGATGAGAATATTAACTGCTAAAATAGACAAGAAGATAATCAGAAATACCATAGCATAAAATGAGATGTGTGGAATTAATAATAGGATACATAGTAAACATTTTCAATTTACAGAAATCTGTCTGTATTATGTTGCATATGATCTGCAAAAATGAATCATCACTGAAGATTGCTACTGCACCTAACAAGCCTTAAACTAAGCTTAAACAGAATCACATACCACTTTTCAGTTCGAAAATCCGGAGGTTAATAATAATAATAATAATTATATATATATATATATATATATATATATATATATATATATATATATATATCAGCAGCATCTACCGCACTGATAGATGCTCGAAAACCCATTCCATCTGGATCTGAACATTACGAAGAGCGGTGTCAGCTTAAGCGCAAGCTGACAAGAAGCCCATGCAATGATCGTGAACAGTTGAGGGTAGCGAAAGCAAGAGAGATGGAAAAGGCAGCGGCAATAGGTAACAGCAGACAATTGTTCAGACTTGTTAAGGAAACCGGTATTAAGAAACCGACTGTTAGCGAAACACTCTCAGAGAAAGATGGACATATTATACATTCTCAATCCAGGAGATTGGATCGATGGGCAGAACACTTCAGGGATCAGTTCAACTGGCCTTCAGCCACACTTCGATTTCCCACGATCTCCAGTCAACCTGAATGGCAAGTTAATGTAGGTCCTCCGACTCTTTATGAAGTTCAAAAAGTATAATATTTGAAAGTACTTGAATTATCGTATGAACTAGGAATCCCAGAATTAACGCAATCGAATAAAAAAGTACTAGACAAGCACAAACGAACGTATTGTATTCAGAATTCAAAATCAAGTATTCAACAAGTACAAAGGTATCATTAGTTCATTCAAACACCACATCCGCCACTGCTTAAACTGGAATATAATTGTCTGTAATAGGTTGTACGTCTTCTTCTTAAGTTCATTCTGAGTCTGTCCGACATTGTATCTGATAAAAACCCGGTATTATCTAGAATGTGCTCATTAGTATTGGAATTAACAACCGAAATCGGAACAGACTCACCTGGAATTGTATACAATCAGCATGTCGCTTTTGTACTGAAATCATTAATATCTAGAATTCGAACCATAGATTTTTCAACAATATCCTCCCCCACGAAATAATGTTGGATCTTTATATCCCCAAGTTATGAATGATGTGGCTTCATTTAAAACATATTTCTCATATTGACTAGAGTAAACATTAGAAGTGTTTTGGTGCTAAGGATAAACAGCAGTTGATATGAAATCATCCGAATTGTAATCAGAATCGAGCTCATTTAGTACTTGTGCTTTGCACTGAACAAGTTTCCCACAAGAAACAACTGCATTATGAGGACAAATAATATTTGATGGAGCATCAAGATTTGATTCTTCTGAAATAGTTTCCTCAAATTTACTATGAATGTCATTGCAGAGTAAAGGATCATTAGAAAAATTAGCATCCATCAAAACTACATCAGGTTTTCGATCATAATTAGGTTCACTCAACATGTTTTCCTCAGATTTGTAAGGAATTTAATCAGAAATATGTGAATCATTAAGAAAAACCATATCTGGTACAATAACGTGAGAAATCTGATAAGTTGATTGATTAGAAACTGTTGCCTCACAAGAATTCTGAGTTTCATTTAACTCTGAACTGCTATGTGACTCTACACTGTCTTTTAAAATCGTTGATAAAGATAAATGATCATTATGAATACTCGACTCAGTAGAATCAGAATTACAAGACTTAATATTAGTTGCAATAAGATGAACATTGGTATTACAGACTGACTGAATATGTCCAATATCACCACATTTAAAGTACTTAGAATTACAAAATTTACATGAACTAAAAGAGTGGAACTTTCCACAGGACAAAGATTGACCAAATTTGTGACCATCTTCGTGAAATGAATTGCAACTCCTCAATGAATTATCTGCATAGCCTTGAGTATGCACTGGGTTGGGATGACGTAGTAATGTAGTGGAATTTTTTATATCCTCATGAATCACTTTACAAAATCTTCCTTTATTGCGTTCGAAATTTGTATACTTAACATAGTCTAGCAGCAGTTCCTTGAGAGTTGTATAAGGAAGCGACATAGGCTTTTCCGACATAGCCAGAGTTCTTAATAAGCTATATGCTTCTTTTCCTATGAATGTGAGGAGATGTGCCACAATATTAACATCCTCAGCATCTTCCTTGGTCATAGCCCAGATTTCGAACCTTTCAAAATAATCCTCAAAAGCACCAAAGTCTGAATGTATATCCAACGATTCCATCACAGGATCCTGCTCGCGATGCCAGTATAATATCTGAAAGTATTTGAATTATCATATGAACTAGGAATCCCAGAATTAACACAATCGAATAAAAAAGTACTAGACAAGCACAAACGAATGTATTGTATTTCGAATTCGAAATCAAGTATTCAACAAGTACAAAAGAATCATTAGTTAATTCAAACACCACAAAAAGCTATAGGAAATCTGAAGTGAGGGAGAGCAGCAGGCCCTGACAGGTTTACTCCTGAGATTTTTAAGGATGGTGGTCCAGTATTAGCAGTGAGATTAACTGAGGTCTTAGGTAGAATTTGGGAACTGGACGTAATCCCATCTGACTGGTCTCAATCACTGATTGTGCCAGTCTATAAGAAAGAGAAAAAGTCCTCTTGCGACAGTCACAGAGGAATCAGTTTGACTAATATAGTGTCTAAAATATTAGCTTCAATAATACTTCGACGCCTAATCAAAGCTCGTGAAGAACAGACTAGAGAAAACCAGTTTTTCGACTTGGACGTGGTTGTAAAGACCAGATATTCACACTACGTCAGGTTCTAGAACACAGACACGCATTCAGACGCCCCACAATAGTAGTATTTCTCGACCTTTAGGCAGCATTCGACTCTTTTGATCGTGAGGTTCTATGACTGAATTAACGATTCAAAGTTAAAATTTACAGATGGGGTTATATCTTGAACAGAAATTTGTTTGGATTATAATGATAAATACAAATAGATAATTTTCAACACATTCCTCAAGCAAATGAACTATTACTTTTACATTTCAGGAGTTAGAGTTTCTAACTCAAGTCACTCTCGACATTATATAAGTATTTCTCTGTATCATGAGATCATAATTCAAGAACAATCTGAGTGACTTATTTATCTATCTTTAACATACAATGCTGATTATTAAGTAAATGAATATCAGCGCTTGTTTCAGCCATCATCTTTGTAAGAAAATATGTTGATCATTGTTCTGTTCATCAAGAATTAGTTGAAAGTCTCCACTATTATGTTCAAACTTTAGTGTACTTCAGAATATTGATACCTTAAACTCAGTGACTCAATTTAAGGAAAGAAGAAATCACTTGTTATATACAATGTAAATGATTTATTTGAAGTTTATATTATGTAAACACATGTAAGACTTTGACTATATGTAGATCCGTTTTGTAAGTGTAAAATAAGTATGATTAATTTATTTATAAGTTGTTGAAATGCTAATTATCATATTCACATTAAATCAAAGATCATCTTGTTATACCAGAAATTTTGATGCATAAATGTTTAGGTCAGCATTGCTTTGGTACTTATACAAGACTTGCTATTTATTAACCCTTTTTTCA